AATACAATATTTGACATCATGGCCCATACCTAGTGGGAAATATTGTTTTGCTTTGATGTTTGAGTGTGTGTAAAGTTTTATTACACTATATGTGCAAGGGCAATGTGATCCTGGAGAAAATTTAAGGGCTATATATGTAAAGAGATTAAGTTTCAAAACTTCAGTGGATTTAGGGTTATATAAATATAACTTGCGTATAAATTAATATTTAGTCAACTCTTAAGATAATAATATAGATTAATCAACTAACAGTAAGTAATTACACTTTGAGATTAAGATAATGTCTAATGGCTATAAACTGTATTAGTATAGGAATAATATTATCGTCAAAGCAAATTATGCGTGGATCTTATAACCTTTAATTATACATGATTATATTATATTAACTTAATCATTCATTTCCATAATCTCCTTTCTTGAATTGAAACCATTTGCCAGATCTGGTAATCCATCTTTAATCAAGTAAAAGGAATATTTATTCAATAATAGTCCATTTTGAATATATATATTCTTATATTCCCAGAGTCACTCAAAAATATAGGATTTCGATCCATGTATCCCTCTTACAATTTCATTATTAAAATAAATCATATTCACTGTTATTAGCAACTTTCCTAATTTCAACTATCTCTGATGGTCGAGTGGTTCGATAGAAATTCTTAATTATATTATTCAAGAGGTCTTGACTTCAAGTCCCTTTATCGATTATTAATAGGAGTAGTCATTATAGTTCTTACCCGATCGATAGTTCCAAGGTCCTGAGGATTTAGTTGGGGTGCACGTAAGTTGGCCTAGATACCCCCGGTTATAAAAAAAAGAAAAAATAATAATAATTCATGATTTCTCCATCTAATGAATGAGAATGTCATATATGTGAGGATACATATAAAATTGATTAATTTGGATTTGAAGCTTGTGGCTGCATTTGTTTTGTTATTTGTTCCCTATCCTACCCAAAATACATATTTGTTTCCCTACTTTCAAAATCCAATCTTATTCTATTCAACTATTTTTAAACCCCTTATGTTTGTTAATTTAACTAAACAGCCCCAACAAAGAATTTTATAAATTGACAAAAATACCCCCACCCACTCACATTTTCCAGATTCCGACCACCATCGTCAGAAGGTGACCGAAATCTACCACAAAGGCGCACTATCGGCTAGATCTGGATAGAAGTGTGCCGATCTAGCCTTTTTCAGCTAGATTCACAGTAGATCTGGCCAAATCTACGGCTAAAGATCTGACCATTGACGACCAGATCTTTGGCCACATCTAGTCGTAGATCTGGTCTATTCTGGTCATATCCTTGATGGATTTGGTAGGAAAGATGCTAGATTGACGCACTACTGGTCGGATCCAGCCGGTAGTGTGCTATTATGATAGATTTTGGCCACCTTCCCGCGATGGTGGTTGGAATTTGACAAATATGGTTGGGTGGGGGTGTTCTGTCAATTTATAAACTTTTTTGTTGGGGTTATTTAGTTAAATTAACAAACCTAAGAGGTTTTTTGTTAATTTTTAAATCATATCTCATAATAACAACCCAACTCAACTTTTTCAAAAGAACTACTCAAAATAATAAAACAAACATAGCTGTGTGTTTGTTTTATTATTTTGAGTAGTATTTTTGAAAAAGTTGAGTTGTGTTATTATTATGAGGATAAGATTTGAATTTAAAAATATGTTTGATAAGATTATTTTTTAATCCCCTATATTTGTTAATTTAGTTAAACATCTCTATAATAAAAGTTTTAAAATTAACAAAAACAACCCACCCGTAATATTTAAATTTAAATTTAAAAAAGAATCAGCTAAATTAATATGTAATTAATAAGCAGTTTTTTATTTTCATTTATTGATTAATTGTTTTGGAAGAATCTCTTCAATTATTTGAATCACAATCATTCAAATAAGTCAAATTAAATAAAAAATTGGATTTCAAATGTGATTTATTTATTTAGGAATCTTTGATGATTAATTAAAGCATGATGGGTAGCTTAAGACTTATTTGTTGATTAAAGAAGTAATCCATGATCTTAGGAACTAATTAACGAATGATGGTAAATTAAATTTGATAGTTGATTGCCATTTTCTCAACATATTAAAGGAAGGTTGCGTGCTATGAACTTACTTTTCAAGCATCCCATCCCATCCCATCCCCTCCCATCCCATCCCCTCCCATCCCATCCGGTCCACATCATACGTTATTAGATAAGTCAGTCTCAGTCCATGTTATTATTCCTTGATTCCTTCCTTCTCTGTCTCTTAATTTAATTTTAGTACATTAGTTGATGAAATAAATCTAAATTTTTAACTAAAATACATAGTCTCAATTGTATAAAACAATATAGAGCTTTATTTATGAAATTTTCAATTTGAACTCCTTAAATTTTGACGTGGTTATAAATGAAAGATAAAAATTTCTTAATATTGAATATTTAAAATCAATTTATTGTCTCTCATGAGATTTACTAAAACCTCCATTAAAGAGAGAATGCCATTGGCGACCTGCTTATAGCTAGGGTTTGCTTTACTTTTTAAACTTTAAGACTTTAGTATAAATGATAATTTTTTAAACAAATTTACATCTAAGTTTATAAAAAATTTATAATCTAAAGATGTATTTTGTAAATTTTAAGTATACTTTTAGTCAAAAGAGGATCTCACGAAAAAAATCGAATATGGTTAAAGAAAAAATAATTTATCAAGTATTCGTTTAAAAAAAATTCTATACATTTTTAAGAAATACGTAAAGTATTATTTAAAATACATTTCAAATGATTTATATAATATATCAATATCAAAATATGTTTTGTTAAAGCATTTTCAAATTTATGGAACCAAAACAAAACCACAAGGTGGTGAGTGGTGACATCGTTCAGAAAGGCTGCGTCTAAAGGGTCCCATTGGCCATAGGTCGTACAAATAATGGGGTCCACTTTCATTCTCAATCGTCGGATCAAATAAGTGCCCTTGTAATGTCATACACCTATGGTTCAATACAAACTGACAAAGTTGTACTGTCCTACATTTACAAAGCAATCATTTATTGCAAACGCTTTAAATCCAACGGTGATCATGGCCATTTTCTCGATCAACGGTGCTGACTCGGCGACCTATGAATAGAAATCTGAGGGGATTGTGACAGCGCCGCCAAGTTGTCCTCTGTTACTCGACGTTTGACGTTGTCTAGCCGCCCATACAGTGATACTCCGTGACTTTGCCGTCAGGGTTAATTTAGTACTTTTACGAAATAACCATTGAAAGACGTGTTTTAATAAAACCAATCAACTAGGTCACACGTGTAATACAGTCAAGCCAAGTTACAGTAATAGTCAATATGTTAGGAGAGGGTTAATTACGCACATTCATTAGCGCGTGAGTGATTGTGTTTAGGAGCTATAAAAGGAACGTACCTAATGGCCCTACCCCTCTGACCTTCAATGAGTCATGATAAATTTTTTCTAGCTACAGTAATAAACGGCCTCGGCCACGTCAGCAGGGCCCATTGTGTTTAGGTAAATTATAGTCAAGCGAAATAACGTTGAATAAAGATTTCCAAATAAACACCTTCGTCAAAAATGTGATTTAGGTTAGTACTTAGATGGCTTTTATCTACTTGAATGACGGTGTAAACAAATACAGTCCAGAAAAAAAAAAATTTGTTTTAAAAAAAAAATTGTCCACTAATTAATTCAACACTATCTTATTCATGATATACTAAATCCATTATTTCAAATAAATTTATATACAGTTTGATAAGAAGCAGTAGCATTGAATACTTAAATAGAAATGGATAAATAAAAAATTAGGCAAATCTTTTGTAACAAAAAATGTTCTCTTTTAATATGGAAATAATTTCCATACATATATAAATTTTAAATGCTACGGGTGGATGATGATGGAGCCCTTGCGGCATTGCCCTTTGTATCTAGGGTTCCTTGATTAACGTGCACTATTATTCTTGTGTGGGTCTGTCATTTAGAATCAATACGCTTATTCTAACTTCCAAACTACCCTCATCAGTTCGGTCACGGACCAAGACAAGCTTGACACGTTTTGAAAGGCTGAGTGGGCTATTGGTGCGGTGCGGTCAGGCTCGAACCACAAAGCGCCAATGTGTTTCCAAATTGGCGCCGTACCATAATCTCTCTCTAGCTGTCAACATATGTTTCCGCCACGAATACCGTACTGGCTTTTAGGGACAAAACAGACTTTTAACTGCTCCAATTAAAATTATGAATCATGCACCAATTACTAAATGCACACAAGGGATTTGTCCCCTTCACATTATAAACCTTTAATTTAAAATACTAATTTAAAGTCTTCCAACTCTTCTATACAACGCCCAAGTGTCCACTGTGCTATCCCTCTTCAAATTACCATCTTGTCCGCACGTCTTCTTATTTGATTTGATTCTCTTAAGACATCCCCCCCTCTTTCAAAAACAATATTTCGTATATTTATTATGTGTATAAATTGGTATATATAAATCGATGCTTGATGCAATGATAAAAAGAAATGTCTACATATAATTATTTTAAATATATTTTTCTAATAATGGGATATTTACTTTATATTAAAAATAATTTATTTAGATTGAGCACATACATATATAGAATGCAATGATGGAAAAAAAACCACCTTCTTCAAGCAAAAATTATACTAAATGGAATTTATTAATGACAAACTGGTGGTTAGATTCGATCAATTTAAGGACTAATTTTTTTCTAAAAATAACAAAAGAAAAAATATACACTCTCTTTCACCTCTAGTGTTACACTCAATACTAGTTTTAGTGAATAAAATTATATCATATACACAAATTTTTATATCCAATGTAATATTGACCATAATAAAAGTGTATGGTTAATTTTTGTTTTCCAAAGTGATCACCGTATTATTTACGGTATTCTTCTATATTATTCACAATTTGTGAGTACGGAAGGATAATTTGGTCAAAATTTAGCTGTGCTGCCATTTCTCCTTTTTCTTCTTTCACTAGGCTGGTTGGTTCTTGAAGGCCATTCGTTCGCTATTATCAGGTGTGCTTGAGTTCCAAGCATTTCTCTCTTCTGTCCGGAAATCAAAACCCTAAAAAATAGTCAATCAGATGGTCTGATCATTTTCATTTCCTCAGACATGGAGTTACAAACCCTAACGATCACTGCTCCACTGTTACTCTCCATGTTCTACAACCGGTAACTCTTATCTTCTCTACATTCTCTCGCCTTCTTCGCTTCATATTTCGCTTTCGATGCTTTCAAAAACTTGTTTTAAAATTATTTCCTTTTTCCTTATTTTGCCTTCTGTCATTTCAGGTATTCAGCTACTTGTTTTGCCCTTTTTAGAGCTTTGATTACCGTTTTTTCGCCTATTTTTCTGAGTTTTATGCTTTTTTCCCCCCTCTTTATATTACTTGTATTACTCAAGAAAATTATTTTTCTGGCACTTTCACAATTTTTTTTTTTCAAGGTTTGTTGGACTTTGGTTAATGTTATTTAAGTAGCTAATAACACGTCTGTATAAAAGAATCAATTTTGTTTCTGGGTAAAGCACTGTTTTGGAATGTTGAAGTTCAGTCTGAGTATTGATATGAAGGTTAAACTAATAATGATGATAATATCGTAAGAATAATTTCCAATTTTTTTTGGAAAGTTTAAAGTTAGCTGCTTCTTTGCTTAATACTTGTGTTAATGTTTTCTGGGTTTATTTTTAATATGGTAATGTAGAAGATTTAAGTGGTAAATAAGGTTGGTCATCTTACTATATCGGACTACAAACGACGGAAAATTATTTAGTCATCATATGATATTGCCGCTCTCTGGACCAACGCTTTTTATATTTCTTTCCTTTTGGCGTTATCTCCCTCCCATTCTTTTTGGGTCCTATAATGGTTTTATCATTTTGGTTATGTTTGGTTGCTGAGAAAATGGTAGACAAGAGGAAACTGAGGCCCTTATGTAGTTTTATGTTTTTTTCTTTCTTAGAAAATAAACGGTCAATTTAGTTTAATGTAAAGGCTCTCTGGTTATGGTTATGGTTTTTTTTTTTTTTTTTTTTTTTTTTTTTTTTTTTTTTTGTTGTTGTTAAATTTTCATCGTCTTTAATTTAAAAAAAATATTTCAAAGTTGTTTCCTTTTTACGTTGCCAATGGTCTATTTACCTGCCATCCATTAGTATCTTGTATGTGTAATCGTTGGCAGATGTTGTTTATGCAGGGGATTGATTCGGCTAGCTACTTCATTCCATTTTATTCTGGTTCTGTCATGTATCTTTTTTTGGCTTGCTACATGTGGACCCTGTTCTAGCGATGGGATGAAGAAATCAGCAGAGTATGATGCATGCAGATCTTACGGAGATCATCAGGGGGTGAATTTTCACGATATTATTGTTGGTGATACTAATTCGGGTTATCTTAAAGGAACTTCGGTGACCCAGCTAAATATTGAGACTGTCTGTACCAGTTCCAATTTGTTCTGCTTTCCTTCAACGTTGCCTGGTCTTTTTTCAGAAGACCATAAACCCAGGGAAGATACTTTAGAAGTTTCTAGGATTCAGTCTGATGGTCCATTACCTGTAGGATCAACTGAGACTCAGAGGATAGCAAGTAACAAAACCTGGTCATCAGACTATGGGATGTTTGGATTATTAAATGGCAAGACTGTTTCATGTTCCTTGAACTTCAAAGAGAGTATCCATGAACTATCCATTCAAACTGATGGTGGTGATCAAAATGATTTTTCTTCATGTAGAGGAACTTCTCTAAATCAGCATAGTACTAATGTTAGGTTAAGCAGGAACTCTGAGATGAGCAAGCCAGGTTCATTTGGTACATCTTCTTCACCTAAGGTAGAGATAAGCCCTCCTATACTGGATTGGGGACAAGAGTATTTATTTTTCCCTTCAGTAGCTTTCCTAACAGTAGCAAATTCCTGTAATGACAGCATCTTACATGTATATGAACCTTTTAGTACGAACACACAGTTCTATCCATGCAATTTTAGTGAAATTTTACTTGGACCTGGTGAAGAGGCTTCAATTTGTTTTGTGTTTTTACCTAGATGGTTGGGGTTGTCAGAATCTCGCTTGATCTTGCAGACAAGCTCTGGTGGTTTTCTGGTTTCTGCTAAAGGATTTGGTGTTGAGTCTCCTTACAAGATTCAGCCTTTAATGGACTTGGATGTTCCCTCTCGTGGACGGTTGAGTAAGAATTTCTCCTTATTTAATCCTTTTGATGAAACCCTCCACGTGAAGGAAGTAACTGCATGGGTATCAGTTTCTCTAGGGAATACTACCTATCAAACTGAAGCAAATTGTGGCGCAGGACATTTTCCGAACTCTGAAGAGATAAAGTTGCTGAGTGTTAAGGATTGGTTGGTTGTGGAGAGTGGTCAAGTTGGTTCTTCACTGATGGCTATGAGACCCCATAGAAACTGGGGGATTGGTTCTCGCAGTAGTGAGTCGATCATAGAGATAGATTTCTCATTAGGATTGGAAGGAAAAATTCTGGGTGCATTTTGTTTGCAGTTGATAAGGTCTTCACAGAACACATCTGATACAGTTATAGTTCCTCTTGAAGTTGATCTAGATAGGAAAGCAGCCTATGGAGATCTTACTGGTCCTATTTTAGTTTCGCTTCAATCCCTTGTGGCACAGGATACTGGTGGGACTGTTGTTACCATTTCTCTCAGAAATAGAGCTTCTTACATGTTGAATCTTGTCAGCATTAGTGAAGTTGCAGACACAAAGCTTTTACAGATCAAGTATATGGAAGGCTTGCTACTTTTTCCAGGAACTGTCACAAAAGTTGCTGTTGTTTATTGCACCCAACTGCCTGTTGAATTACATGATTCTTTTCCTGAAGTATCTAATAAGAACAGAAATTGTAAACTATTTGTACTGACAAATGACTCAAGCAGTCCTCAGATTGAAATTCCTTGCCAGGATGTAATCAATGTTTGTTCAAGACATCAAAAGGATTCATCCATTGGATACGAATATGAGGCTGGAAGTGTCAAATCTGGCAATGCTAGGACAGGGTCCTTGGTTGATGGTGTGAAATTGCCATCAAAGGTTGAGGTATGCTGATTTCAGTTTCAGTGTCCAATTTGTGTGTGTTGGTTGGTGTTTGATTCATGTGTTGGTTTTTCATTTTATCAAATTATTCTAACGATAGTCTTGTATTCTTAATGCTCCTTAGAAGTTGACCATGAACCTGTTACCTATTAGGAAGCTAATTGTTTAACATTTACCTGTTCTCTTGTGTAAGGTGAATTTTAATCCATTTAGCATGCTGGGTCCATTGTAGTTGTGATGATGTACCTTTTCAATCTGACATTTGTAGTAGTTTTACGTAGAGATACATCATTGAGAGATTAACAGTTTTTAAGTGCTTGGGCATGTAAAAATGACAATCAAACAAGCTGGCTGTTTCAAGCCTGAAGAGAAACAAACAAACAAATGAAATAAAAATTGTCCGTCTAGTTGATGCATATTTGCATATTGCCATGAAAATTTTGTTCGGTAACATGCATGGCTGAAGATCTTGCTGAGGTTTTCATACCTGCCAAGAATAGTTTCAGTTGGATAAGATATGCCTATTTAGTACTGCTGTTGCTTATGCAGTATAGGCTCTTAAGTTGTAAACATGTATGGCTAAAATCCTTGCCAAGAATATCTATGTAAAGTCCTTGGTGTATGCTCTGTGTAATAGATTGTCTCCTGGTCTGTGTAATATTCATTAATTTTATTCCTTGTCTGTTAAGATGAGTGAAATGCCAAGAGTAAAGCTGAGTTCTAAAATTTGCGTTTTCACTATGGGATTTTGTACTTTTATGGTTTCCAGTTTAAATGTTGAGATATTTTCTCTGATTTTGTGGGAAGTAATAGTGAGCAGTGGATTGCTGTCAACAACTGGAAGGAAGGAGAGAGAGAGAGAGAGAGAGAGAGAGAGAGAGAGAGAGAGAGAGAGAGAGAGAGAGAGGATTGGTCAGAACTAGGAATTTATTTTCATAGCTTTTTAGAGGGGAGTTTGATGTTGGTTCTGTGTTTTTTTTATTTTTATATCTTATCATATATCATAGATATCTGAATAGTTGAAGTCTCAAGGCTTCCATTACCTAATTGCTCCTTTTAGCAAATAAATGATAAGTTAAAGAAGTCTATATTCTTGCTCATGATTTACCGTTAATGACATCACACTCCCCACCCCCCGGCGCCTGGGGCCTGTCTTCCTTTTTCTCCCTTTCCGTAAAGGAAAAAGAAACAAAACTAATTATATTCATATGATGATATATTGTGTTTTGAAGGTGTAGGGGATTTTCTTTATTTATTTTTTTATCTTTTGTGCTGCTTCTTGAATGTTCTCGATAACTAGATGCTTCTATGTCTTGATCTGTGTTTAAAATACTTAAGCTTTTGTGAACTTATATTTGAAGGCACTGGCGACTGCAGAGGCTGATGAATTTGTGCTCACAAACTGGAAATCTCAAGGTTTAACAAGTGGTATGTCTGTGCTTGATGATCATGAAGTACTGTTCCCCATGGTTCAGGTTGGCAATCACCGCTCCAAATGGATCACTGTTAAGAATCCTAGCCAGCACCCAGTTGTGATGCAGCTTATTCTCAACTCTGGTGAAATCATTGATGAGTGCAGGGGCACAGATGGCTTGATACAGCCTCCATCATCGGGGAGTTTGGAATTTACTAGACCAACGAGGTATGGCTTCTCAATTGCAGAGAATGCAGTGACAGAGGCTTTTGTTCACCCTCATGGTAGAGCATCTTTTGGGCCAATATTATTTAACCCCTCAGATCGATGTACTTGGAGAAGTTCAGCCCTGATAAGGAACAACCTTTCTGGTGTAGAGTGGTTATCTTTGAGAGGATTGGGAGGTTCACTTTCACTAGTGTTGTTTGAGGGGTCTGAGTCCATTGAAAGTGTAGAATTCAGTGTCGATTTGCCAGTTACTCAAAATCTCACTCCGGACATGCTATTTCAAGTGGAAGATACTACATCTGCTTGTTCAAAGCCATTATCAAAAGAACTCTATGTCAAGAACACAGGAGATTTGCCTCTGGAGGTGAGAAGTATTGGAGTTTCTGGGACAGAATGTGGCTTGGATGGGTTTATGGTCCACACCTGTACAGGTTTTCTTCTTGAACCTGGGGAGTCAACCAAGCTCCTGATATCATACCAGACCGACTTTTCTGCAGCTATGGTACATAGGGATCTTGAATTGACCTTGGCCACTGGTATTCTTGTGATACCCATGAAGGCAAACCTTCCTGTTTTAATGCTTAATGTCTGTAAGAAATCAGTCTTCTGGCGATTGAGGAAATTCTCCATAGCAATTATTTTTGCTGCATGTATAATCACTTCCGTTTTGTATTTCCTTTATCTCCTAATGACGGCCCCAGGCTCCGAAGATTGCATCTATAAAGATGAGAAAAATTCTATTAATACTACAAGGAGTGCTGGGAAGTCTTCTCGTGTACATCGTAACCAGAGAAACATCAAAAGTTCTGTGCCTGATGAAATGGATTGTTTGTTGAGTTCAATTGGGAAAGGCAAAATGTCTAAGCAAGCATCCGTAGATGGGTATCGTGATAGTCAAAATGAGCCCCAAGAGCAGGACATGAATGCTCAGCCTTCAGAACCAACTTTGGAAAATCATAGACACACTAACGGTTTCTCTGATACTCTAAGTGAAAGAGGATTGCCATCTGTGCCTTCAAAACCTGCAGTAGTTGAGGATTCTGATACAGTGGAAGCATCTCAAACTGATAACCTAACAGTTAGGACTGGAAAAGAAAAGGGACGAAGGCGAAGGAAGAGGAAGGGTGCTTGCACAGTATTAACAGGACTACTTGAAGTTTCAAGTAGTCAAAGTGGAAATTCTACACCTTCATCTCCATTGTCTCCGATCACATCTTTCACCTCTACCCGCACCTGGGTACCATCTCCTGATTTGGACCAATCCACTGAGTCTAGAAATTCATTTACTCAAATGGCTGACCAACACTGTGAGAAGGTTCAAGTTCCTGAACTGGTGTCTCAGGCAAAAATTTTGAAGCCCCAGCTTTCTCAGGCGAAAGTATTGGAGCCCCAGCTTTCTCAGGCAAAAGTATTGGAGCCGCAGCCTTCACAGGCAAAAGAATTGGGGCTCCAGCTTTCTCAGGCTAAGGTATTGGAGCCCCAGTTTTCTCAGGCTAAAGTATTGGAGCCCCAGCTTTCTCAGGCTAAAGTATTGGAGCCTCAGCTTCCTGGGAGGTACCGTGGTAACAACTGTTATATTTCTAATTCAGAGCAGAGCCCAGGACAGAGAAGAATTGCTAGTAAACCTGTTTTATTGCCCTCTGCCACTTTTCCTTGTGCTGGTAAGGCTGTCCGAAGTGCATTGTGCTCTACATCTCCATTGGCTTCAACTTCCACAATTGCACCTCATGCACGAGCTCCTGGATCGAAAATTTGCAACCAGAAAACTTTTAAAGGAGAACCAGCTGGGTTTAGAGATGAATATACATATGATATATGGGGTGATCATTTTTCCAGACTTGGTTTGGTAGGCAGGTCAAAAGATGTAACTGCTGTGAACTCTAGTGCAATGGTAAACTACTCTGATAGCTTCTTTGTAAGTGGACCACAGGCCCTTAGGACAAATTCACAATCAAGATCTGTAAGTTGTTCTAATCAAGATGGTTAATGATATAACTAAATAATTATTGAACTTCCTCGTACGAACTCTTTTTTTTGGCTTGCACATTTCCAACTTATAAGACTTATTCTAAGCAATCCTTAACTGCTGGAAAGGTATTTGGTAGTGATATTATTTACATATAGCTGCAATGCACATACTCAACCTGGCACAAACAAATGAAAAGATCCATAATGAAAACATAGAGTTCATAAAGTAATATGAGAGTAGAAGCAGATGCAGACATTCGTATAACATGTGTGAATGACTCCTGATTTTGAAGTGTTCCACTTTTAATAAAATTTATGCAATTTCAGGCTAATTTTTAATCAGTATTTTCTTTTAAAAAAGAAAAAAAAAAAAAAAAGAAAAAGAAAAAAGGTTACCATATATTTAAATTAATATTCATTTATTAAATTCTTTACTCCTGAAACTTCTAGGCAGAGTGGGTGCTCCTCTTGTTTGGCTCCTATTCAGTACTGGTTCATTCATCCCCTTTGTTGATTACTTCAAAATATATGTACTAAGNAGTTCATAAAGTAATATGAGAGTAGAAGCAGATGCAGACATTCGTATAACATGTGTGAATGACTCCTGATTTTGAAGTGTTCCACTTTTAATAAAATTTATGCAATTTCAGGCTAATTTTTAATCAGTATTTTCTTTTAAAAAAGAAAAAAAAAAAAAAAAGAAAAAGAAAAAAGGTTACCATATATTTAAATTAATATTCATTTATTAAATTCTTTACTCCTGAAACTTCTAGGCAGAGTGGGTGCTCCTCTTGTTTGGCTTCTATTCAGTACTGGTTCATTCATCCCCTTTGTTGATTACTTCAAAATATATGTACTAAGAGACATTGATACATACCGAAAGGAACTGAAAAAACATGAAAAGTCAGTGTCATATCAGGTGCTATTGAGCATGGCCTCGAGCCCCAATGAGCTTCAAATCTTCTAATTCATGAGCTATAAATGAGCAAAATAGTTTATCTAACTTCTGATTTCTAGAATGATTACTATTGGAGCTAAATTCTTGTTACCTATTATGGCATTACAGACTTAACATTTGAATTAATGGTGAGAAAATTAAAATTTATTTTGAAAAAAAATAATGATTTTTTATTTTAGTTTAGGAACGATTCTTACAATGTTTCTCATATAGTATTGGGGATTCAAATAAGTGGTCTTTAAGTTTCAGGAATCTGAGATTTGTCTGGCTATACTTGAAAACCTTTTATAATCTTTACAGTTAATTTTTGCATTTTGCTTATCATTGTGGTTTGTAGCCTTAGCAAGTTAGTGCTTAATTGATGCAACTATTATTTTACATGAAGTTGGAGCATCAAAAGTCTTTAGTGTTAGTCCCAAATGGTAAGATTTTACTCTGTAGGTTCTTTTGGCAAGATGAAAGAAGCTTAGGTTTGCTGCATTAGTTTCTTTACATAGATCAGAATATGATGGTCAAAAGAAAGAATTTTTTTAATAAACTTGCTCATTAAATCCTATCTAATTGTATCATTACTTGCATCTTATGATTTGTCCTAAGTTCTTGGTGTGTTAAGGCAGCAGAATTGGTGAGGTTGATCATATGTTTTGTGCAAAGTGAGGCAGCATTTCAAAATCGTCATGTAAAACACATGTTTGTGCTATTACTGAGCTTGTCTTCGAAACTTGATGCTTAAATAAAAGGGTAAGCAATTGTCTTAATCTGTTTCCATGTGTTTTGGTCTATCAGTTCTGTGATGGTAGCCTTGGACTGACAGGCTACCATGACCATTATATTGAAATGCAGTTTGCCTGTGATTTGTTGTTCAATTCAGAGCATGTACAAGTACAACTATGAAGCCGTAAGGGTTGGCAATTCAATGGTAGATATATCTGGTAAAGTTGTAATAAAAATTGTTAGAATCTGGTTACTTTTACTTCAATGGAAGTGGACTTTCAATGACACTGGTAGTAAATTAAACCGAGAGGGCTGATAAAGACAAGACAAATTTAGTATTGATGGGAGAGTGATGTTATCGAGATAACTGGGTTTCTATGCATGTGTTGTTGTAGTCCTTGTAATTGAGTTACACTAGAAATAAGGATTGAAAAGACGAATGGTAATAAATTTATGGGTATTTCCGGGGACCCTTTCTGTATTGATTTACTCAGTGTGCGGTCAATTTGTGTTTGCAAAAAGAAATGACTTACCATACCTAACAACAATCAATCCTCAATTACATTTTGTGTTTATAACCTTCTTTTACATTATAGTCTTAATCTACAAAACAATTGCAGAAGGTGCTGTCTTGTACTGTTTCTGTACTATATGTTGAAGCCAAAATCTATTTCTCAAGTATAAACGCCTGTTTCAGTTGAGTCTTTTAGCTGATTGTGGAACGAATTTGGGAGGGATTAAGGTGGTCCAGTCACCAGTATATTGGACCACACCCTACAGCAAATACAGACATCGACTCATCAGTCCAATTGTTTATGGAGGTCCATAGCTTCTCTCCATATCAAATTGTACACTGAAACTAAAGATATCATAGTAAGAATAAATAATTAGTGTTATCGTTCTAGACTGACGATAACTCGAGAATTAAGATCAACCATTTTACGTAAACAATGTGTGTTTTTCCTGAGATTCTAATCAGACTTTCTGATTCCAATCCTCAACCTCTGCTCATGCTAATAGGCTTGGTGCATGTCATTTGGTCCTTGTAGACAAACCTAGCAAACACGATAGCAAGATTTTTGTTTTCTTAAAAAATGCATTTTGCAAAAATCTGGTAATAAAAAATTTCAAATTTGTAGGCATGTTAGGTTAAGTTTCCAATGTTGTGGTTATATTATTAATCTTGTCATGTGAGCTGCTGCCCCCTAAAAATCAGTTGGCCAGAGAAGAGAGGGAAAGTTGCTATTGGGCATAGCATGTATTTGGTGATTTGTTAATTGAAAAGCAATGGTATACATCTCATAAATGTGAGATATTTTAAGATTCTTACTAAATCTAGCCTCACAAGCCCATTGAATTTAAACACAGTGTTAACTAATGAGTGGATAGGAAGGCAAGAGAGGTTTTCTTTTGCATGTGGATCTGCTTTTGCCCTTTTCACAATTGCCTCAAATTCCAGTACTTTTGGCCTCACCCTCCCACATTGCCTTGTGCCCAAAATTCCACAGTGGGTCACCGTCTCATCAATCTTCATGCTTGGGACCAGTTAAAAAAAAAAAAAAGTGTTAACTTGGGGGACCATTTTATGAATTATTAACTGGAATTTCCTGTCTTCTTTATTTATGGATTGTAAAGCTATTGTTGTTGGTGAATAATGGAACATTACATTCTGTCCATATCTATATTTAGTGTTATTGTAACATGCCATTGTGCTTAATACTAGACATCTAGACATTCCTTCATACATCAGTCATTCAATTGTAGTAATGTTGGGATCTAGGACAGACGTATTTATTCAACCCACACTCCTTGATGCCTTGTCCCATTGAATGCTCCATAGCAGCACCACCACCAATGGAATTTTGATTATGAAGTTTGAAATTAGGAGTTAACCCAGTAATATAATTGAGCCATGTAAGCCAGTACATTGGTTGATAAAAGAAAAAGTATAATATCATTTTTGTTAATGCTATCAACTGTAAAATAGCATATGCTAAACTACATATATGATATATATATATATAGTTAGAGGTAGAATGATTAGAGTGGCATGACGCATGACTTACACTTCATCATCATGCCAGACCCAGAGCCACACCAACTTCCAAAATGAAAAATATATAGGAAGAAAATATCCAGCTGCTAGCTGTTCCCCACTAACACATGTATAGTGAACAGTGTTGTGTACAACTCTCAACTTAATTCAGGATTAAAATCACAATGATGAAACATCAGGTTTCAAATTAAATTAAGTTTAATGTTTTGATTAAGAAAATGATTTTGTAAATGGTGTCCGACAAAAAGGTCATAAATACAATGATTTTGTAGGACTCTGAGCATATGATTTAGCAAATGCTTCTGCTTCAACCACATGTCACTTATAACCCTTTCAACCTCACGTGCTTATGCAAACTGCCATCCACCTAATCTTGTTTTTTCGATTCATCTTTATAAATATTATCTCATTTCTTTTTATTAATTAATTCATCGGGAATGCTCCTCAAAGTTTACTTTTTCTCTCACTCTGATAATTGCTACTCACAGTCTCCTATCTTCAATTTAATTAGTGCCAAAACAGTAGGATTTTCTGATTCCAATAATATTAATCAAAGTATGATAGATGGATGTTTAGTAATTGGCCATTTGATTTTGTGGTCACTTTAAATGACCAAGTGAAGGATTTTTAATTGATTGTCACAATTCATCATCTTATAAATATAATCCAAATTACAGCATTTGACTTGCCGGTGGATCACGTAGTTAATATTTAAAGGTTGATTTTGCCAATTCATTAATTAATTGATTGTTGAATTATGAAGTAGCTTGATGTCTCCATGTCCAGGATGCGTCCAACAATCATTTACACCAATTTAATCACTATATTAAACTATCCTTTTTATTCTACTCCATTATTAATTGAATTGGCACGTTAACTTTGCTTATGCAGAAAGGCATTTAGCTTTTGGGGGACTGATTTATGAAGCAGAGACACAGAATACAAGGAATTGGGTTGGCTCTATTAATGATCTTCTTATCATTATCATCAATTCTTAATCTAACATACTGAGAGAGTACATACATACCGGTTGCTATCACATGTGCTGACAATTTCTCATCTTTGGCCTGTTTAATAATGTCCTCCTGAAAATGATTTTGATTTTGCCTTTCCTCTCTTTTACATGTGCAAATGCAAATTCATATCTAGTCCATATAAATACTTTGGCGTTTTTGGAGCAGAGTGAGTGGAAAGAAACAGAGGATGTAGAAACAAAAGTCTGGGCATATGTTAATTGATGATGAGAGGCGGTTGTGACGCTATCACCAAGCTAAAGTGCACTCAAAGACAATCACAGACCGCTTGCTTTGCCAGTTCACATATCAACTCTCAACTCTCAACACACTTGCATTGCATGCTTATTTAGATATGTATCAACAATTTCTATACTAGTACTACTCAACTTTATACAACTACTTCTGCTCTACCCATTTTTTTATATTTTTTAGTGAACTTTGTGTTGGTTTCTTTACTTGTCTCCACTGTTCTTCTCGTCCGCCTTTATTTTATTACTCAAACCTGTTAAAAAAAAATTAATTTTTTAACGTTTAACTTTTTTCTTTTACGATAATATAATGTAGTTTGTTCTTGTCCATCTGTTACTCTATTCTTGGATGACGCTTTTAAGCTCGAATTCTCGTCGTTTTCTGCTTTCTTCATCTCCTGTACAAGCTTTTGTTGCTTTTTTTTTCTTTTCACTCTGTTCGAGATACTCGTATTACTAATGTTTGTTTGATCAGATCAATTATATATCAAAACGCATGCATTTCCCTGCCATTTCTTTTCCCGCTCTTGAGCTTAAACAAAGAAGAAAAAGTTTTTCTTTCAACAAAACTCTTAGACAATAAATATACAAATCTCACTCGAGGACCAAAAACTTGGGTTAGTTCTCAATCTTAGTCTTGCTACTTGCCTTTTTGTTAGGTTAAGTTCTTCAATGTTTGTTTATTCTTGTGATTATTCAGCGTGGTTTCTGCCTTGTTTATCTTTTGAGGTGTAACGTTTTCTCGTTTTCCAGTGAAAAAAGCAAAGCAATAAAGATGAATACAAGAGTTCGCACTGCTGTTCAGTCTATGAAGCCTCCTTTAAAGCATGATAAAGTAACTTCTCTATCTCTCTAATTTTTCTTTTCTTTTGATTGCTTTTTTTTTTTTTTTTCCTATTTTATCTGCAAGAATATCTAAACGGGGTTTTTTTTTTCCTGAAAACTTACGAAAAATTCTATATTTTGATTTGAACCTATAGTTTGTTAATACATGATTTTTGAAAAGTTTGGAAATTGCTGTTCTTGTGAAATTTGCTTGGGTACTAAAGAAAGAAATATGCACTTTTGACACATATCTGAGTTGGGTTCTTTCACTTGTCTCAAGAAAGGAATGATTTCTCCTTTAAGTTCCTTTTCTTTGTTCATAGACTGCTTTCCATTTATTAACTTATGATTTTTGTTTTTGAATGTACAAAGAAGGAAGAAATGGAGACTCAGGGACGCAAAGGACTTGGTGCTGGCAAAGCTGTGTCCAATCGGCGTCGATCCAACAGGGAAAGGAAAATGGCCCTATTACAAGATGTATGCAAAATTCTCTATACAAATTTATCCAATTTGCTTCGTTTTATTACTTTGATTGTTATGGTTTCGCATTATATTTTCAGGTTGATAAGCTAAAGAGGAAGCTTAGACATGAAGAGAATGTTCATAGAGCTTTAGAGAGGGCATTTACTAGGCCTTTGGGGTCTCTTCCCCGTCTTCCTCCTTATCTCCCTCCATATGTTAGTATAATTCACTCTTCTCTTAATTAGATCTCTCTCTTATTGTCATCAAACATTAGCTTGCAATTCTGTGTGGAAAAACATTGTCAATTTCTTGGATGGATTTGTTTGAGGAAAGAAACTGCACAACGAACTCTTAGTTTTTGAGAATTTTATTTACGTTGTTTAAGATTTGACATAAAGAATAATGCTGATGATTGTATTAATTGTTGCAGACATTGGAGCTACTTGCTGAAGTAGCTGTTTTGGAAGAGGAGGTTGTTAGGCTTGAAGAGCAAGTTGTGAATTTTAGGCAAGGTCTGTATCAGGAAGCAGTTTACATTTCCTCTAAGAGGAATGCAGAGAATTCGAATGATTCTGATCAATTGTCTCTTCGAAGTTATAAACACCAGCGGTCTAAGTCTTTCTCCTGTAATGAGATCAATTTGGCATCAACACCGGCCAGGCCTCAACCTTCTCTTGGCAGAAGTACTTCAAGCAGAAAGCTACTGTCCACAGATACAATAAATGATCGAACATCACATAGTTTTATTAGGACAATGAATGGAAAACAATCTTCAGTTAAACCCAATCCATTTTCATCTCATTTGGAAGATGGGCGAGGAAAAGAGAACCGTTCATGTACTAACTCTGTGAAGGATAAGCAATCTCCGGAAAAGAAAATTGCCAAAGTTGTTACCCCAGTTAAGAGACTTCCAATCAAGAATGAAGCACATGATCCCAAGGGTGTGGATCATTTAAAGTTGCAGGTACATTTTAATTAGTGATTTTCAATGAGATCTAGATTCAAGTCTAGAGCTATTGTAATTTTAATAATGGTTTCAATTGTCCAGCTAGAATGTAGATTAGAGGACCAGGAAAAAGCACAAGAGAGCTGTTCTGGTTCATCCGGTGATAGATTATCAGAAGTTGAAAGCTCACCAAACAAATTGTCCGAGGATATTCTTAGATGCTTGTGTAGCATTTTTGTGAGGATTAGCACACTGAAGGACAAAGCAGTGGATTCTCGTGAAAGCAGTGAAGGAAGTAATTGGGATCCCTATGGTACCCACTCTGAAGTCAGCCACGGTGATATTGGTCCATATACGAATCTCTGTGCAATTGAAGCAAGCTCACTTGATCTCAATCGAACCTCAAATGCATTGTTTCTGATCCATAGGCTGAAGTATGTTCATTGATCATTTTCTCTGACTTTTACGTTCCACTCTTAAAAATTCTGTTCACCTGTCTTGATGATTTTTTCAGGTTCCTGTTTGGGAAGCTCGCCATTGTCAATTTAGAAGGTCTTACTCATCAACAAAAGCTTGCATTCTGGATTAACACTTATAATTCCTGTGTTCTGAATGTAAGATTTCTATGTGATATTTAAAATTGAAATTATAGTGGAAAAATCGATCTTGCTGGAGTTTACAATTTCGATTTGTTCATATTATATATATAGGGACATTATATGGCATAGTAAAAGTTTTTTTGGCTCTTAAGTCATTCTATCATGCAAAAGCAAGAGCAACTTATGCAGTTAAAATATCAATCTTTCAGGCATTTCTAGAACATGGGATCCCAGACACTCCTGAAGTGGTTGTAGCACTTACGCAGAAGGTGAGATATGTTAGCTATTGTTGTTATGTACTGCAATATTAATTTATGATTCCTGCAATATTCTTTCCCACCCAACAAACTACATTCACCCAAAGGGATGATTTGGTCGCAATTGGTAGTATTCCTCTAAAATTCGATGTACTTTCTTTCATGTTTAAAACAGTTCAATTTGCAATTCAAGTACATTGTCATGGACAGAATAAAACGTCAAACCGCTAAGAACATAAATATGGCTGTGTCTTTAAAGTTTGCTCCTCCCAGAAATTGTGTGAATTTGCTGAAGCTCATAAATTATCATTACCTTTGAAAATTTTAATCTTAAGCTTGTGGAGGACAATGGTCCAATTATACAAGGTGCTGTTAACATCAGCTGTAGCACTGTAATTATTCATCTGATTGAAATTCTGATGTGCTTGCTCCAGGCAACAATAGTTGTGGGGGGACACTTGCTCAATGCAATAACAATTGAGCACTTCATCTTGAGACTGCCGTATCACTTAAAGTTTGTAAGTGCATTCATCTCTACCACTTTATAATGCTTTTACACTGAATTAGATAAAATATTCTTGGAAGTTCTTTAATATCTTGAAAAAAGAAAAGTACTAAATCCTCTTCTTTTCTCTCTCCGAAAGACATGTCCTAAAGCGGCTAAAAATGATGAGATGAAAGCGTGCAGTATATTTGGATTGGAGTGGTCTGAACCCTTGGTTACATTTGCACTCTGCTGTGGGAGCTGGTCCTCCCCTGCTGTAAGTTTGTTTTAAACTTGGTTATGATTGTTAAGCTATTTAGGCAAAGTCACTGTCCTTCACAATTTGCCGGCAGATGACTTGATTGCTTTCTATTTCATGCCATAATAATGCTATTTTCATGTCTATCAGTATCTTAAGTCCCATGTTGTTTGAAGCTTCACTGATACTCATGGCAAAACATCATATTTAGATTTAAAATTTTCTGGAATGGTTGTTTGATTTTTATAATGTTTTAGCAGAGGAGGCTGCTAATTATTTACAACTATGACAGACATTTGACAATTATATGTACATTAATGTTGTGAATTGAAGGTGAGGGTGTACACTGCATCTCAAGTTGAAGAAGAGTTGGAAAGTGCAAAGAGGGACTATCTACATGCAGCTGTTGGCATTTCAAGGACAAACAAGCTGATAATCCCCAAGCTGTTGGATTGGTATCTTCTGGACTTTGCAAAGGACTTGGGCTCATTACTCGACTGGATTTGCCTGCAGCTACCAGATGAACTCAGGAGTGCTGCAGTTAAATGCCTCGAGAGAAGGAAAATAGAGCCTATTTCTCACTTAGTGCAAGTAATGCCATATGACTTCAGTTTCCGGTTGCTTTTACACCGGTGATACTTTTCGTCTCTATAATTCTATGCTCTACTTTGTTTATATACTGGTATAGTGGACATGGTGCAAATACATATATAGTTAGCATTTGTAATCAATTGCGGGGAAGAAATCATTTTTTTTTTTCACATCGGTTCTTTGGTGTGGTTCTGGAAGAGTATATGAAGAACAAGATTTCTTTAAGGTTGTTTTATCATATACTATTTCACCTTAAACTCTGATGTCATATTGTCTCATAAACTGCTCAACAGTTCATCTGGAAAACAAAGGCTTTTTATCTACTTTATAATTACTTCTAAAGACAGATGAATAAACGTATAATATGATTAAGGAACAATTTATTTTTACTTAGGGCAAGATCAAACTGCACAAAAGATCGGATACTCAGGTGAAAAACATGTATCATGTAGATTGCCCAAACAATTGCTCGATTTCAACCTTGGCCTATTTGTAGGAAGCTTAGCATCTGATTTCATGCTTTTGGTCCTGTGGGTTAATGGAGAATTTGGAATGAGAGTCCAAGTTTGATGCATTGATGTAACTAAAATTTTTATGGCACCAATGTTGACAGCTTCTCTAATGAACCTACAAAATTAATAATAAGACAATGAAGTTAGTCAAAATTAAAGATGGTATACAAATGAATATTGAGACGGGCATGCAAAGTCAATTGTGAAGAATACTAAAATTCACAAGCATATCTTGTACCAACCAAAGGGCCAGAAAATCAAACCATATTTGGTACGGTATCTACAATGCATTTGCGTGAGATTGCCTGTTCCTTGAAGCGGAAGCGCTAAAAACGACAAAAACAGAGTTGACAATGCTCTCTATTCTATAGGCTACATATGGCGTGGTGGGTTCATCAGCTTCAACTTTGCCTTATCAGATGGACTCACCAGTGCACTTTCTTGCTGACTCCCTAGTCTGTAAAAAATGCATTCTGCAAAGGTGAACCATTCTTGTTGGAATTTGAGTTTGACCCACCCAGAGATAGGCTGGACTTTTAGAATCCGTACAAGGGGTATTTTTATTTGTATTGTAAGAAACAAGATATGAATGATAACCAAGTTGGGTCTGGTTTGCTCTAAAGTCGTAGTCCTGTCATGTGCACATGGGCTTCGTATCCATATTTATACGCAAACTTAAACTTCATATTCACATTCACAGGCTTCTCCTGAATTTCCTGCCCTCTGCTGCACGCTGCTACTTCTGGCTGTTGATACGGGATTATTCAATACCCACTACTAACAACTTTAAGAGATTCTATTTAAAGTATATTTCTCTGAACTTACTAGTTACACCATTGACTAGTCATTCCAACATAAAATTCACTTAATTAATTAAAAAATGGAACTGCAATTCTAAATTCCAACTCTTTCCTCCACATTTTTAACCAAGCAAATACTATTTACACCTTCAAAATTCTTTACTTCAACTAACTTAATCAAAACTTAGAGCATTGCAATCCTAACACCATAAAACGCTTGTAATTCAAAATTGTTGAAGTTGAATATTATAAAGTTTAGTTTCTAAATACTACATGAAATTTAAAGGAGGAAGAAAAATTTCGAGCATGTTGATGCCATATCTGCCGTTAGTGTTCCAGCAACCATCCACATCTACCACCGCGGGGCATGGTGGTGCGACCACTCCATAGGCGCTGGCGCCCACTAACCTGCCATTCAGCAGCTGTTCTGACCTTAACAGCCCAGATTAAAATTTAATTTTTATTGAATTATTTATTATTCTTTTTGTGCTACATGAATTTGTATACAGAATTATGCATATATTTTTTTTTAATGTAAAGGTATCTGTAAAAGGAACACGAATTTCAGGCAACATATGCAACCATGCATATGAACTTTCCAATTTATGGATAAATAATTTTTAAAGGTTAAATATGTTTTCTTCCCCGGTACCTGGTTGAAAAAGACTCCTAATGCCACAAATTATTCATTTATATATATACATTCTTATAAAGTGTTAAATTAAGATATTATAGATTATTGAAATAATTTGGTGTTAATGACTTTAATCCCATGAAGTAGGATAAAATAATAAAAATCCTCATACTTTTAAGTAATATAATAAACAGTAAGAGAACAAAGTTTAACGGTTCATTAACAAGAGAGTAATTTTTGTTAATTTAGAAACCTTATGACGATTTTTAATACTATATGATAACTTAGGAGGTCTACGTCTTTAACCCTATAATCTAACATGTATAGTGCCTTTGATAATAGTCCCTAGGTTACACACCACGCTAAAACAGCAAAAATTAGTTCATTTTTGGCTTGCAATGGCCAACACCCAGAAATTAATGAATCAGAGAAATGTTCTATATAGCTTACAAAACTGTGAATGCATTTTTTATTAATGTCTTCCATTAGAATTTAGAAACCGAGCAAGCACATATTACAACAAACAAGTGAAGACGGTGGTAAAATATGTAAAAAGAGAAACAATCATTTACAAACAAATTTAAAATTACACTATATACCAATTGGCGATGCTATGTAGCTTCCTCTATAATAAATGGCTCATTCTTTCTGAATCAGTGGTATGATGAGGGAGGGTGACAGTAAGAAGCCCTAATGGGACAAAATAAAGCAAAAAATTTTGCAAATCTTCAATCTCAGCCAAATGGTGAAGGAACAGGCCCTGCAACTGCATCTGATCTTTGAATACTTCCCATACCGCAGATAATGCATCCAGGTGTTGAAAGCGCTGAAAATTTGGCCCCACAAAGATCACAGACATCGTATCCAATGGTAGACAGACGGCTAAGTGTGGCAGCACAGAATTGAGAGGGATCTTCTAATGGATCAATAGACTTGTTGGTCAAACCCCTCTGAACACACATGTCAATCAGACTCCTCAACTCATCCTGCTTACTCGGAGGAGCTTTGGACAGAAGCAGCTCAAGCATCTGTTTGGCATATCCAAAATTCTGAACATCCATGTTCCGTTTAATGGCAGTTCGAATGCAATTTATTCGGTGCTTTGTCTGAAGAGGTAGAGAACCCAAATGACGTGACAGTCTAGCCATTTCATCTTTTGCACTGATTGCACTAGGGCCTTGAACTTTCTGCAGTCGTAAAATTTCCTGCAATGTAACCCAAGTGATGGTCATGCCACTATATCATGTTTCCAACACATGAGAAAATCTATGTCGTACAAAACAATAAAAGGCACTATACGTAAATCATACAAGTAATAATTTTGCTCAAACATCTATTGTACAGGACTGTTAAGTCCATTTTAATTCTTTAAAAATTTATAGAATTTATTTAATTAGTTTCGTGAACTGAGGCCATTTATAAAATCAAAAAATGGACAAGCTAATTAAAACTTAAAAACCAATAACCAGGTCCAAAAATATCCTTCTCTGCAGATAGTTGGCTGTTCTTTTCTAAAGAGTTTAAAATTATGGGTCCAACAAAAGAAGTAAACACCAGCAAGGTGCTATTCTGCAGATACAAGGGCTTCAGAGATATAATGCATTTGAAAATACAATAAAAATGAGTACCTGCAGAAGAGTGACTGCTATCTTGTACTGTGCACAGATGGTTGCTTGAGCTTTAATATCAGCGCCTCGAGACTGATCCTTAGCTAGTGCAAGGAAAGCTTCATCAAAACAAGATAGTGCATCTGGAAGTTGATTCTGCTCAAGGTGAGCAAGACCAGTCTTGAAACATACTGGAGCAGCTGCCCCACGAGGAACCTGTATGAGGATAAGCCATGATGGACGGCACTAGGAAAATAGATATTAAATATGTTTACCAGACATAAGATATGGAAAGCAGCCAAAAGACTAAACAGACAGATTGGACAATGTCAACTGGGGGTAAAAGGCAAACCTCTCAAACCTTTCTCCCTTTAGTTACATACACAAAGAAAGAAATAAATACATTTAAAAAATGAAATAGAACTTGAAGATCAGGCTATTGTACCACCACTGCCCACTTATTTCTTTTGTCTTCTTCTAACCAATTTTCATCTCAAAATAACAGGTGATGAAGAGAATTTGAAGTTTACAATCACTATTCCATATGAAGCATACAGAGTATTAAAAAGGTAACTTCATAGTGAAAATTTTAGATATCCTTCCAACTTAAACCTACCTTCCTCGTCCTTTCTGAGCTACACAGCATAAACCAAGCTAAAGACCTTTACTACCAAATTTTATAACTGAGTGGTCTTCACCCACACATGTTAACTCTTCCATCAAACACCGGATTACAGCAATGAAAAAAATAAGCATATGATGAAGCTCAAAGTTGAAATAAGATATACATACATAAAATGGTGCTAGTTCACAAAAAAATATACTAGTAAAAAGAAAGCGATCTTTTTAAAACTAGACGCAGCATTAATATTACAACAATCAGCACAAGAACACCCAAAAAGAGGGATGAAGGAAAAGTAAAGCATGAAATTAGACAGACAACACATATACTCACCTGTCCAGGGCGGACTGATGCTGGCGGAGAAACGGGATGAGTAGTGGCTTTCCCAGAATCTGGAACTCCAAGGGCACTGAGATCAAGAGGTTGTGTGGAAGGTGGGACCTGAGCAGCTTGAACCTGAGGTTGAGACAGGAAAGGAGCCTGACCAGAAGATTGTGGTGGAACACCACCATCAGGAAGTCCAATGGACTCAACTGGAATTGCAGGTTGCTGAGGAGCTTGTGGGGGAATACCACCACCAGGGAGACCAATATCAGCGGCAGATACACTTGCCTGGTTAGGTATTACATTGCTACTTTCAATGCCTCTAGCAGCTTGTTCATATTTTGCAAGATAAGAAGTTCCAGGAGGAGGCAGGGTGGCAGCAACTTGGAGCGACGGAATTGTATTGTGGAAAAAGTCTTCTGGAATAGGTCGAGCTGTAGCTCCCATACCTGCAGCCGTAGGAGCTGGCTGTGATACTGATGGAGGTTGTGCCCAAGATTCAGTACCAAATGGGTCAACAGGAGCAGAACCTGTAAGGGCGGCTGCACTTCCACTGGTAGCAGGAGAAGGTTGGGATAAAATCTGACCAAGGTCCTGGGATCCAATAGTTGACTTAGACCTCATAGGTGGGCCCAACCCGTCACCAAGTTTAAACTGCTTCGTGGCTTCTTTAATCTTATTGACATCCACTGTAGCAGATGCAATAGGCTTATCTCGTATTCTAATTTGTAATTTTTTGGCTTTTGATGCTCCCTCCTCATCACTGCTGCTACCATCAGCAGTTGCACCATACATTGTTTTCTTAAATTCTTCTTCAGCTTTAGCCTGTTCATCAGCAGCAGTGGAACCAGCATATTGACTTGTAAGAGTTTCCAGACCCATCAGTGAACTGACCTTGGAATCACCATCAGGCGCTCCCTTTGATTTGTTAGACATAGATTTAGCTAAAGTAGTATGAAGACCATTAGGTTTATTGTCAGCTCCTGCAGGCATGAAAGGTTTAACCAAACTTTTTTCTGTTACTTCGACAATATTGCCTCTTCCCTTGATTGAGCCCAGGTAAACGCCAATATGATCAGAAATAATAGATGGTATGGGACCATCATCAGTCCTCATATAAGGCACCACTTCTGCAGCCAGTTCCCACTGAGGTATACTCTTCAAGTTAGTAGGAGTCTTGATTTCCCAGTTCCCACCACCCCATTCAGGTCCTTTCGGAACCATACTCTCAGCAGCAAAGTTGGCAAAAATGCCTTGTGTCCATCCAGTAGAACGGACTCTTAAAATCCTTTCACAATATCGCCTCAATTCCGAATTAGCCTCTTCTTCTTCCAATCTTTGAGCAAGACGACGCATTGCACTAGGATTAAGGTGGCAGATAAACATATCAAGCATGCTTTCATAGTCTGCTATGACTTCAAAAGTTTCTTTGGCACTGTCAAACTGTCCATACCTACAGTTTCAAAATTCAAGGTCATCAAGGAAAAAACAGGATGAAGACTATATTGCTATGAGTATGCTGGTCAACAAGATGCCTATCAAACACAGAGCAAAAAAAAATTATATGCCGCTAAAATATCAGAATATACTTTAGTACATATGTTGTGAAATCTGCACAGAGAATATACCGGTTCAGATTTAGGCACTTACAATAAAAATTTTCCAAAGCTATATGTCCAAATATGTATAAATGATAAATTATACATATAACTGAACATTCAACTGCGTCATTGAACTTAGTAACAAAAATATGTTTTTAAGCAGGACAGCAGGAACGAAAGAGAATGACAAAAGCCAATTATTTTCTCATAAAAATAAAAATTTGGGTCTAGAATGAGTTAAAAAATGAAAGATCAAAGGTTCTTAAATATTAACAAATATAATATTTAGTTCTTAAGCCTGAGCATGAATACCCGAGTTTCTCAGTGTGGTAAAACATCTGAAGCATCAACAACAATATGCTTACTTTATACAGGCATATCCCAATTGCCGGAAGCGATGGAATAAATGCGAGGTTGGAGGACATTTTGGATAATCTCTAGAGCGCAAAAATTCATCCTTCAGAACAGATAGAGCAGTAGAAAACCGGAGAGCTTTAATTGCATATATGCCCCGCAACACCTAAATTATTTCTCCATGTGTGAGCAACTACACTGGATTTGTAAAACATAAAACATAAGGCATCATCATTTCTCACCTGAGTGAAATGTGGTCCAGCTTGGGATAGCGATACAGCAAGGTCCCCACAGACAGGAGGACCTTTGGCAAGAATATCAAGAGACCGGGGAGTTATACGCAAGCTGTCAAATCTTTATCAGAAAAAACGCCAGTGATGTCAGATATTACTAGCTTTTGTCCACAGATCTATTTGACACAAGAAGATGCGTTTTATAAAAACATAGCATGTCCAAGAGAAAGAGACAAGAAAACCTTGATGTTATTTGGTACAATATTTCAGACAGGTCAAGCTTCTGCTCAAAATATTGCTGCATCGTGGCAAACCCGATAAGAAGAGGTTCAAGAAGCCCAACAAGACAACTCTTAACCTCAAACCCTTTCTTTTGTTTTGGACTGATATCCGTTGGGTTAGCGAGCAATAAGCGATCATTCAAAGCGCCAACCAAAACTGCAAGGAGGAATTTCAACTCAGCATCTCAGCATAATAATACGATGGAAAGTTGCAAGTGATGTTGTTTACACATGACACTATAGACGATACCAGGCTGTTCACGCATACAACACAAGACAAGCTATTTACCTGAATTTGGCATACTAATTGAGACAATGGTCCTAACTTTTCCATCCCAGCCTAGCACACTAATTCCAGTAGCGGTAGAAAACAGAAGTGCTGGCCCAACCCACAAAAGGGATCTATAGTGCACAAAAGTTAAGTGTTCAAACAAAACATATTGATCTTGTCATACAAGTATATATTAAAACAGCGAAGAAAAAGCAGGGGTGAAGAAGCGAAGGAAAGGAAGTTTCATGCTAAGTTATTCTGAATAAGGTATATATATATATCTATATACACACACACAATAGGGTCTAGCAAAAAAGTTATTCTGAATAAGGATATTGAAGGAAGTCCTTTATCAAATTTTGTGGAACTGCTTGCCAAAATGTCAAGATCAGCCGAAACTATAAGTACTCTTTGAGTAGTTAAAATTCCTGCAACATAGCCTCTCTGAGTCTCTTGCCAATGTACCTGTTGAAGTTGAAAAATTCCAAGGTTTCATAAGACAAATATAGATCATCTGCACAATTTATTCAAGAACACAAGTTGCACATAAAACAGATCCAGAAATGATGAAGAACGCATACATATATAATAACTATATAAAGAAGATAATGAATTTACTAAAATATCATAAAATGCCAATCATCCAGCTCTCTCATTTGAACTCAACAGGTTACTGAGTAAAAACATATCCAATTCATAGGCCAAGACAATTTTACATGGGTTTCCAGGGTTTTGTTAAGAACCATGACTTAAGATTTTGCTTCAGAAATTTAGGTGAAACAATCCACTAGATGCTCATGTTTCTGCATAGATTGAAGAGGGTTAAAAGGTCCTCAGAGAAAGGCTCAAATCTCTATTCCCCTGGTCGCTTTTCTTTTTCCATTCAAAAGTCAGTTTAATATAATCATGATAAATCATAGGTTTGCAGATTCTATTATAAATCGAAAGTTCAGCTGTCACTATTATGGCGTAGCAAGGTTCATTCTAGATAAACCGATTGTGATGAAGTATATGACTAACAAGGGCAAATGCTAAATTTTATTATGTTGGCTACATGTTTGTTACATAAATGTTGCTCAAAATAGGCCTGAATCTCCTGGTGCTAACTTTTACTTGAAGCCTTTATCCTTCATCCTAGTTCAATGTGAACAGAAGTAGCATAAGATATACAATTCTTAGTTATTCATATTCACCATGTTTCTATGAATGCACATGCCGTCATGAATAACAGCGAACAATTGCATACTGGCATGGTATTACATAATGATATCACTCAAATATTAACTCTATTTTTTCCAACTAGGTCCGGCCCCACTCAGTAGACAAGCTAGAGCATTATAGCCTCAGTTATCAGCACAGCCACTCCTAGATTCACTGGGTTATTTTAATGAATGGGACTGGGGACTAAACGTATCCTTCAAGAAGAAACTGAAGAAAATTAATTAGTTAGCATAATTTACTTCATGTTACATTAACATTTTATCAACAAATATGTGTACCATAAGTAAAAAAGATGGACTGGACAGGTCACTGTGTCAAATACCTCACACATGTAGCACAACAAAATTTCATAGGCAAACTAATAGTTTTCTACCTCTGCAATAAAGCAGGCTAGTTTAGTTGAAAAAGTCACTTGTTAACACACAAATGACATTAGGTTGAATTGTTCTGATACCAAGGGAGGGGGATTAAGAATTATAAGAGCATGCCAAGGAAACAAAGAGGGTTGCATCTCATTGTGCAGCTCATGAACCCAATGGATCTCCAGTGAACTGAAAAGAAGACCCAACTATATTTAAAATTGCTCCAGACATTCAAAAAATCATGCACTAAGAAAAGAAAATAGGAGATTTTATGCCTTCACTATTTTCCTTCAATTTGTGAACTGAGTCCTAAGTATTGAAGAGTTTAACTAATTACCTGAAGCACAATTTCATTAACTTTCAACTTGATATACTTTTTCCCTTCAGTTTTAGTTGGTATATAATGACCATCTGAAGTTGAAAGGCGGTATCCTTGAATCAACTTTGCCATCCCAATTTGATTACCGTTACATGCAAACATCAAAGTTGACTCTACAACAATAGGAAAAACTGATCAGCAAAATGTATTACAATAGCTATTGCTACTTAATAAAAAGGATATTATTTCCACAAGCACCTATTGGAGTGGAAAAGATGCGATCAACTTCAGTTTCAAACATAAACTGCACTGGACCGCGAACTGAACCAACATTTGAATCTGCTGGCTGGTTCTTTTCATCAGCTTCTTGTGAGTCCACCCCCAAAAGAATGTATAAAGCCAATCCAGTTTTGTCTTCATCAAGAATTGCAAATTGATTTTCATTGGGCCCGATAAATGCTGCATCTCGACCTGCAAAACTCCATACTTGTTATCAGCTTCATGCCCACGTAGTTCTTCAGCTCTGATATACACATGCACAGGCTAACAACAATAGAAGAAAATGTTTAAGAAACAGAAGTACCTTTGACAGTGCTACTTTTACTGTTAGCTAACTGGGAATCGACATTTTCCCGATAGAGGACAACCTCATTTGTAGTGCCACTGAATTCATAAACAACAAGAAACAGCTGCTGTTTTTTACTGTAAACCATGTACTTTGGATAATATTCCACATTGCTCGGAATCTGAAACCGGAATTTATCATAAGGGACACTGCACCATACAATTTCAAATAAAAAAGAATCCAGTTCAACATTACCGAAGTGTAAAGTTTCTTGTAGATACTATCAACTCCAGAACAGAGATTATATGCCATAATATTTACACCATCTACATAAAAGGCTCTGACAGGATAATGAAGAACCCGGTTCTCTCTATTGAAGAAATTGAGCTCCAAATGAAATGGCTGCCAATGAACCAAAGCCATCATGATGTACAAAATACGCAATGTAACCACTTATATGATAATCAGTTTAAATCTTCAAAACTGAGCTACCTGACAAACAGGAATGTCTTTCTGTCGATGTTTAGTGTCTAGCATTGTGATGAGAGGCAGCCGAGATATTGGAGCACTTTTGGCATGACCTTCCATGAAATGCTATAACAAACACAAGTCATCACCACATCAAACAGGAAAGACAAATACAAGAGTTAAGATCCCAAAAGGTAGAGGTTTGAAGTTAATTCTCGATTGAGTTACAACTACATTGTAATGCTACAAGTCCCATGTTTGTATTATAACTTTTATATCCCAAGTGATGTCATACTATTTAATGATTGTTATATCATTCTTCATCTTATTGCATCCTTCACGTGGCAATCCTAAATTAATTTCATATCACTTAGGATCTAAAATTGGGATACAAATCAAGGATGTATATTATATTATTATAATATAAGCCACAAGTTTGAAATGTCAAGTTAAGCAAATAAATGTAAACTTGGCCTAAAGAAAAATATGGAGAATAATCGACTCTTACTCATGATAAAATTCCACTTATATGCTTTGTTTGGGTGTGTGTATGTTTCTTTCTGGGTTTGCAAATAAGTGTAATTATTGATGAGCCTAGCTGTCAAATTAAATGCAATAATGTTTCTTTCAAATGCAAATAAATTTAAATGTCCCATTAAGAAAACTCCACTAAATTAAAAGCCCAGCTAGACAAAACTCATAAATTTTGAAAATTTACCAAAATCATACCACCAAATTTACACAGTATATTTAAGATAGATCTAAATATTGCACGATTTATGAATTAGACCAATTACCAAGACTCTGTTTTTTATAAGAAAATGCCAAGAATATATTTCAAACTGATGGACCACCAATAGTCAAGTGGTATAACCGTAAGGGGCAAAGAAGGAAGAGTAATACAGGACAGCTGGAGCAGCAGCATAACAAGTAAGGCAGCAGCACAACAAGCGTGAATGAATCTGTTTGACAGGTGGAACAACAACACAGCTAGCATGACAAATAAAGGATTGGCAAAAATGCCTTGTGTCCATCCAGTAGAACGGACTCTTAATCCTTTCACAATATCCGCTCAATTCCGAATTAGCCCCTTCTTCCAATCTTTGAGCAAGACGACGCATTGCACTAGGATTAAGGGCATATAAACATATCAAGCAGCTTCATAGTCTGCTATGACTTCAAAAGTTTCTTGGCACTGTAAACTGTCCATACCTACAGTTTCAAAATTCAAGGTCATCAAGGAAAAAAAGGATGAAGACTATATGCTTGAGTATGTGGTCAACAAGATGCCTATCAAACACAGAGCAAAAAAAAATTATATGCCGCTAAATATCAGAATTACTTTAGTACATATGTTGTGAAATCTGCACAGAGAATATACGGTTCAGATTTAGGCCTTACAATAAAAATTTCCAAAGCTATAGTCCAAATATGTATAAATGAGAAATATACATATAACTGAACATTAACTGCGTCATTGAACTAGTAACAAAATATGTTTTAAGCAGCACAGCAGGAACAAAAGAGAATGACAAAAGCCAATTATTTTCTCATAAAAATAAAAATTTGGGTCTAGATGAGTTAAAAAATGAAAGATCAAAGGTTCTATAATTAACACAAATATAATATTTAGTTCTTAAGCCGAGCATGAATACCGAGTTTCTCAGTAGTTAAAACATCTGAAGCAAACAACAATATGCTTATTTACACAGGCATATCCCAATTGCCGGAAGCGATGGAATAAATGCGAGGTTGGAGGACATTTTGGATAATCTCTAGAGCGCAAAAATTCATCCTTCAGAACAGATAGAGCAGTAGAAAACCGGGAGGCTTTAATTGCATATAGCCCCGCAACACCTAAATTATCTCCATGTGTGAGACACTACACTGGATTTGTAAAACATAAACATAAGGCATCATCATTTCTCACCTGAGTGAACTGTGGTCCAGCTTGGGATAGCGATACAGCAAGGTCCCCACAGACAGGAGGACCTTTGGCAAGAATATCAAGAGACGGGGAGTTATACGCAAGCTGTCAAATCTTTATCAGAAAAAACGCCAGTGATGTCAGATATTACTAGCTTTTGTCCACAGATCTATTTGACACAAGAAGAGGCGTTTTATAAAACATAGCATGTCAAGAGAAAGAGACAAGAAAACCTTGATGTTATTTGGTACAATATTTCAGACAGGTCAAGCTTCTGCTCAAAATATTGCTGCATCGTGGCAAACCCGATAAGAAGAGGTTCAAGGAGCCCAACAAGACAACTCTTAACCTCAAACCTTTTTTGTTTGGGACTGAATCGTTGGGTTAGTGAGCAATAAGCGATCATTCAAAGCGCCAACCAAAACTGCAAGTAGGAATTTCAACTCAGCATCTCAGCATATAATACGATGGAAATTGCAAGTGATGTTCTTTACACAAGACACTATAGATGACACCAGGCTGTTCACGATACAACACAAGAAAGCTATTTACCTGAATTGGCATACTAATTGAGACAATGGTCCTAACTTTTCCATCCCAGCCTAGCACACTAATTCAGTAGCGGTAGAAAACAGAAGTGCTGGCCCAACCCACAAAAGGGATCTATAGTGCACAAAAGTTAAGTGTTCAAACAAAACATATTGATCTTGTCATACAAGTATATATTAAACAGCGAAGAAAAAGCGGGGTGAAGAAGCGAAGGAAAGGAAGTTTCATGTAAGTTATTCTGAATAAGGTATATATTATATATCTTAATACACACACACACACAATAGGGTCTAGCAAAAAAGTTATTCTGAATAAGGATATTGAAGGAAGTCCTTTATCAAATTTGTGGAACGCTTGCCAAAATGTCAAGATCAGCCGAAACTATAAGTACTCTTTGAGTAGTTAAAATTCCTGCAACATAGCCTCTCTGAGGTCTTGCCAATGTACCTATTGAAGTAAAATTCCAGGTTTCATAAGACAAATATAGATCATCTGCACAATTTATTCAAGACCACAAGTTGCACAAAAACAGATCCAGAAATGATGAAGAACGCATACATATATAATAACTATATAAAGAAGATAATGAATTTACTAAAATATCATAAAATGCCAATCATCCAGCTCTCTCATTTGAACTCAAACAGGTTACTGAGTAAAAATATCCAATTCATAGGCCAAGACAATTTTAATGGGTTTCCAGGGTTTTGTTAAGAACCATGACTTAAGATTTTGCTTCAGAAATTTAGGGGAAACAATCCCCTAGATGCTCATGTTTCTGCATAGATTGAAGAGGGTTAAAAGGTCCTCAGAGAAAGGCTCAAATCTCTATTCCCCTGGTCGCTTTCTTTTTCCATTCAAAAGTCAGTTTAATATAATCATGATAAATCATAGGTTGCAGATTCTATTATAAATCGAAAGTTCAGCTGTCACTATTATGGCGTAGCAAGGTTCATTCTAGATAAACCGATTGTGATGAAGTATATGACTAACAAGGGCAATGCTAAATTTTATATGTTGGCTACATGTTTGTTACATAAATGTTGCTCAAAATAGGCCTGAATCTCCTGGTGCTAACTTTACTTTAAGCCTTTATCATCCTAGTTCAATGTGAACAGAAGTAGCATAGATATACAATTCTTAGTTATTCATATTCACCATGTTTCTATGAATGCACATGCCGTCATGAATAACAGAGAACAATTGCATACTGGCATGGTATTCATAATGATATCACTCAATATTAACTCTATTTTTTCCAAATAGGTCGGCCCACTCAGTAGACAAGCTAGAGCATTATAGCCTCAGTTATCAGCACAGCCACTCCTAGATTCACTGGGTATTTTTAATGAATGGGACTGGGGACTAAACGTATCCTTCAAGAAGAAACTGAAGAAAATTAATTAGTTAGCATAATTTACTTCATGTTCTATACGTAAATCATACAAGTAATAATTTTGCTCAAACATCTATTGTACAGGACTGTTAAGTCCATTTTAATTCTTTAAAAATTTATAGAATTTATTTAATTAGTTTCGTGAACTGAGGCCATTTATAAAATCAAAAAATGGACAAGCTAATTAAAACTTCAAAACCAATAACCAGGTCCAAAAATATCCTTCTCTGCAGATAGTTGGCTGTTCTTTTCTAAAGAGTTTAAAATTATGGGTCTAACAAAAGAAGTAAACACCAGCAAGGTGCTATTCTGCAGATACAAGGGCTTGAGAGATATAATTCATTTGAAAATACAATAAAAATGAGTACCTGCAGAAGAGTGACTGCTATCTTGTACTGTGCACAGATGGTTGCTTGAGCTTTAATGTCAGCGCCTCGAGACTGATCCTTAGCTAGTGCAAGGAAAGCTTCATCAAAACAAGATAGTGCATCTGGAAGTTGATTCTGCTCAAGGTGAGCAAGACCAGTCTTGAAACATACTGGAGCAGCTGCCCCACGAGGAACCTGTATGAGGATAAGCCATGATGGACGGCACTAGGAAAATAGATATTAAATATGTTTACCAGACATAAGATATGGAAAGCAGCCAAAAGACTAAACAGACAGATTGGACAATGTCAACTGGGGGTAAAAGGCAAACCTCTCAAACCTTTCTCCCTTTAGTTACATACACAAAGAAAGAAATAAATACATTTAAAAAATGAAATAGAACTTGAAGATCAGGCTATTGTACCACCATTGCCCACTTATTTCTTTTGTCTTCTTCTAACCAATTTTCATCTCAAAATAACAGGTGATGAAGCGAATTTGAAGTTTACAATCACTATTCCATATGAAGCATGAAGAGTATTAAAAAGGTAACTTCATAGTGAAAATTTTAGATATCCTTCCAACTTAAACCTACCTTCGTCCTCCTTTCTGAGCTACACAGCATAAACCAATCTAAAGACCTTTACTACCAAATTTTATAACTGAGTGGTCTTCACCCACACATGTTAACTCTTCCATCAAACACCGGATTACAGCAATGGAAAAAATAAGCATATGATGAAGCTCAAAGTTGAAATAAGATATACATACATAAAATGGTGCTAGTTCACAAAAAAATATACTAGTAAAAAGAAAGCGATCTTTTTAAAACTAGACGCAGCATTAATATTACAACAATCAGCACAAGAACACCCAAAAAGAGGGATGAAGGAAAAGTAAAGCATGAAATTAGACAGACAACACATATACTCACCTGTCCAGGGCGGACTGATGCTGGCGGAGAAACGGGATGAGTAGTGGGTTTCCCAGAATCTGGAACTCCAAGGGCACTGAGATCAAGAGGTTGTGTGGAAGGTGGGACCCGAGCAGCTTGAACCTGAGGTTGAGACAGGAAAGGAGCCTGACCAGAAGATTGTGGTGGAACACCACCATCAGGAAGTCCAATGGACTCAACAGGAATTGCAGGTTGCTGAGGAGCTTGTGGGGGAATACCACCACCAGGGAGACCAATATCAGCGGCAGATACACTTGCCTGGTTAGGTGTTACATTGCTACTTTCAATGCCTCTAGCAGCTTGTTCATATTTTGCAAGATAAGAAGTTCCAGGAGGAGGCAGGGTGGCAGCAACTTGGAGCGACGGAATTGTATTGTGGAAAAAGTCTTCTGGAATAGGTCGAGCTGTAGCTCCCATACCTGCAGCCGTAGGAGCTGGCTGTGATACTGATGGAGGCTGTGCCCAAGATTCAGTACCAAATGGGTCAACAGGAGCAGAACCTGTAGGGGCGGCTGCACTTCCACTGGTAGCAGGAGAAGGTTGGGATAAAATCTGACCAAGGTCCTGGGATCCAATAGTTGACTTAGACCTCATAGGTGGGCCCAACCCGTCACCAAGTTTAAACTGCTTCGTGGCTTCTTTAATCTTATTGACATCCACTGTAGCAGATGCAATAGGCTTATCTCGTATTCTAATTTGTAATTTTTTGGCTTTTGATGCTCCCTCCTCATCACTGCTGCTACCATCAGCAGTTGCACCATACATTGTTTTCTTAAATTCTTCTTCAGCTTTAGCCTGTTCATCAGCAGCAGTGGAACCAGCATATTGACTTGTAAGAGTTTCCAGACCCATCAGTGAACTGACCTTGGAATCACCATCAGGCGCTCCCTTTGATTTGTTAGACATAGATTTAGCTAAAGTAGTATGAAGTCCATTAGGTTTATTGTCAGCTCCTGCAGGCATGAAAGGTTTAACCAAACTTTTTTCTGTTACTTGGACAATATTGCCTCTTCCCTTGATTGAGCCCAGGTAAACGCCAATATGATCAGAAATAATAGATGGTATGGGACCATCATCAGTCCTCATATAAGGCACCACTTCTGCAGCCAGTTCCCACTGAGGTATACTCTTCAAGTTAGTAGGAGTCTTGATTTCCCAGTTCCCACCACCCCATTCAGGTCCTTTCGGAACCATACTCTCAGCAGCAAAGTTGGCAAAAATGCCTTGTGTCCATCCAGTAGAACGGACTCTTAAAATCCTTTCACAATATCGCCTCAATTCCGAATTAGCCCCTTCTTCTTCCAATCTTTGAGCAAGACGACGCATTGCACTAGGATTAAGGTGGCATATAAACATATCAAGCATGCTTTCATAGTCTGCTATGACTTCAAAAGTTTCTTTGGCACTGTCAAACTGTCCATACCTACAGTTTCAAAATTCAAGGTCATCAAGGAAAAAACAGGATGAAGACTATATTGCTATGAGTATGCTGGTCAACAAGATGCCTATCAAACACAGAGCAAAAAAAAATTATATGCCGCTAAAATATCAGAATATACTTTAGTACATATGTTGTGAAATCTGCACAGAGAATATACCGGTTCAGATTTAGGCACTTACAATAAAAATTTTCCAAAGCTATATGTCCAAATATGTATAAATGATAAATTATACATATAACTGAACATTCAACTGCGTCATTGAACTTAGTAACAAAAATATGTTTTTAAGCAGCACAGCAGGAACAAAAGAGAATGACAAAAGCCAATTATTTTCTCATAAAAATAAAAATTTGGGTCTAGAATGAGTTAAAAAATGAAAGATCAAAGGTTCTATAAAATTAACACATATAATATTTAGTTCTTAAGCCTGAGCATGAATACCCGAGTTTCTCAGTATGGTAAAACATCTGAAGCATCAACAACAATATGCTTACTTTACACAGGCATATCCCAATTGCCGGAAGCGATGGAATAAATGCGAGGTTGGAGGACATTTTGGATAATCTCTAGAGCGCAAAAATTCATCCTTCAGAACAGATAGAGCAGTAGAAAACCGGAGAGCTTTAATTGCATATATGCCCCGCAACACCTAAATTATTTCTCCATGTGTGAGACACTACACTGGATTTGTAAAACATAAAACATAAGGCATCATCATTTCTCACCTGAGTGAACTGTGGTCCAGCTTGGGATAGCGATACAGCAAGGTCCCCACAGACAGGAGGACCTTTGGCAAGAATATCAAGAGACCGGGGAGTTATACGCAAGCTGTCAAATCTTTATCAGAAAAAACGCCAGTGATGTCAGATATTACTAGCTTTTGTCCACAGATCTATTTGACACAAGAAGAGGCGTTTTATAAAAACATAGCATGTCCAAGAGAAAGAGACAAGAAAACCTTGATGTTATTTGGTACAATATTTCAGACAGGTCAAGCTTCTGCTCAAAATATTGCTGCATCGTGGCAAACCCGATAAGAAGAGGTTCAAGAAGCCCAACAAGACAACTCTTAACCTCAAACCCTTTCTTTTGTTTGGGACTGATATCCGTTGGGTTAGTGAGCAATAAGCGATCATTCAAAGCGCCAACCAAAACTGCAAGTAGGAATTTCAACTCAGCATCTCAGCATAATAATACGATGGAAAGTTGCAAGTGATGTTCTTTACACATGACACTATAGATGACACCAGGCTGTTCACGCATACAACACAAGACAAGCTATTTACCTGAATTTGGCATACTAATTGAGACAATGGTCCTAACTTTTCCATCCCAGCCTAGCACACTAATTCCAGTAGCGGTAGAAAACAGAAGTGCTGGCCCAACCCACAAAAGGGATCTATAGTGCACAAAAGTTAAGTGTTCAAACAAAACATATTGATCTTGTCATACAAGTATATATTAAAACAGCGAAGAAAAAGCAGGGGTGAAGAAGCGAAGGAAAGGAAGTTTCATGCTAAGTTATTCTGAATAAGGTATATATATATATATATATATCTATATACACACACACAATAGGGTCTAGCAAAAAAGTTATTCTGAATAAGGATATTGATGGAAGTCCTTTATCAAATTTTGTGGAACTGCTTGCCAAAATGTCAAGATCAGCCGAAACTATAAGTACTCTTTGAGTAGTTAAAATTCCTGCAACATAGCCTCTCTGAGTCTCTTGCCAATGTACCTGTTGAAGTTGAAAAATTCCAAGGTTTCATAAGACAAATATAGATCATCTGCACAATTTATTCAAGACCACAAGTTGCACATAAAACAGATCCAGAAATGATGAAGAACGCATACATATATAATAACTATATAAAGAAGATAATGAATTTACTAAAATATCATAAAATGCCAATCATCCAGCTCTCTCATTTGAACTCAACAGGTTACTGAGTAAAAACATATCCAATTCATAGGCCAAGACAATTTTACATGGGTTTCCAGGGTTTTGTTAAGAACCATGACTTAAGATTTTGCTTCAGAAATTTAGGTGAAACAATCCACTAGATGCTCATGTTTCTGCATAGATTGAAGAGGGTTAAAAGGTCCTCAGAGAAAGGCTCAAATCTCTATTCCCCTGGTCGCTTTTCTTTTTCCATTCAAAAGTCAGTTTAATATAATCATGATAAATCATAGGTTTGCAGATTCTATTATAAATCGAAAGTTCAGCTGTCACTATTATGGCGTAGCAAGGTTCATTCTAGATAAACCGATTGTGATGAAGTATATGACTAACAAGGGCAAATGCTAAATTTTATTATGTTGGCTACATGTTTGTTACATAAATGTTGCTCAAAATAGGCCTGAATCTCCTGGTGCTAACTTTTACTTTAAGCCTTTATCCTTCATCCTAGTTCAATGTGAACAGAAGTAGCATAAGATATACAATTCTTAGTTATTCATATTCACCATGTTTCTATGAATGCACATGCCGTCATGAATAACAGCGAACAATTGCATACTGGCATGGTATTGCATAATGATATCACTCAAATATTAACTCTATTTTTTCCAACTAGGTCCGGCCCCACTCAGTAGACAAGCTAGAGCATTATAGCCTCAGTTATCAGCACAGCCACTCCTAGATTCACTGGGTTATTTTAATGAATGGGACTGGGGACTAAACGTATCCTTCAAGAAGAAACTGAAGAAAATTAATTAGTTAGCATAATTTACTTCATGTTACATTAACATTTTATCAACAAATATGTGTACCATAAGTAAAAAAGATGGACTGGACAGGTCACTGTGTCAAATACCTCACACATGTAGCACAACAAAATTTCATAGGCAAACTAATAGTTTTCTACCTCTGCAATAAAGCAGGCTAGTTTAGTTGAAAAAGTCACTTGTTAACACACAAATGACATTAGGTTGAATTGTTCTGATACCAAGGGAGGGGGATTAAGAATTATAAGAGCATGCCAAGGAAACAAAGAGGGTTGCATCTCATTGTGCAGCTCATGAACCCAATGGATCTCCAGTGAACTGAAAAGAAGACCCAACTATATTTAAAATTGCTCCAGACATTCAAAAAATCATGCACTAAGAAAAGAAAATAGGAGATTTTATGCCTTCACTATTTTCCTTCAATTTGTGAACTGAGTCCTAAGTATTGAAGAGTTTAACTAATTACCTGAAGCACAATTTCATTAACTTTCAACTTGATATACTTTTTCCCTTCAGTTTTAGTTGGTATATAATGACCATCTGAAGTTGAAAGGCGGTATCCTTGAATCAACTTTGCCATCCCAATTTGATTACCGTTACATGCAAACATCAAAGTTGACTCTACAACAATAGGAAAAACTGATCAGCAAAATGTATTACAATAGCTATTGCTACTTAATAAAAAGGATATTATTTCCACAAGCACCTATTGGAGTGGAAAAGATGCGATCAACTTCAGTTTCAAACATAAACTGCACTGGACCGCGAACTGAACCAACATTTGAATCTGCTGGCTGGTTCTTTTCATCAGCTTCTTGTGAGTCCACCCCCAAAAGAATGTATAAAGCCAATCCAGTTTTGTCTTCATCAAGAATTGCAAATTGATTTTCATTGGGCCCGATAAATGCTGCATCTCGACCTGCAAAACTCCATACTTGTTATCAGCTTCATGCCCACGTAGTTCTTCAGCTCTGATATACACATGCACAGGCTAACAACAATAGAAGAAAATGTTTAAGAAACAGAAGTACCTTTGACAGTGCTACTTTTACTGTTAGCTAACTGGGAATCGAAATTTTCCCGATAGAGGACAACCTCATTTGTAGTGCCACTGAATTCATAAACAACAAGAAACAGCTGCTGTTTTTTACTGTAAACCATGTACTTTGGATAATATTCCACATTGCTCGGAATCTGAAACCGGAATTTATCATAAGGGACACTGCACCATGCAATATCAAATAAAAAAGAATCCAGTTCAACGTTACCGAAGTGTAAAGTTTCTTGTAGATACTATCAACTCCAGAACAGAGATTATATGCCATAATATTTACACCATCTACATAAAAGGCTCTGACAGGATAATGAAGAACCCGGTTCTCTCTATTGAAGAAATTGAGCTCCAAATGAAATGGCTGCCAATGAACCAAAGCCATCATGATGTACAAAATACGCAATGTAACCACTTATATGATAATCAGTTTAAATCTTCAAAACTGAGCTACCTGACAAACAGGAATGTCTTTCTGTCGATGTTTAGTGTCTAGCATTGTGATGAGAGGCAGCCGAGATATTGGAGCACTTTTGGCATGACCTTCCATGAAATGCTATAACAAACACAAGTCATCACCACATCAAACAGGAAAGACAAATACAAGAGTTAAGATCCCAAAAGGTAGAGGTTTGAAGTTAATTCTCGATTGAGTTACAACTACATTGTAATGCTACAAGTCCCATGTTTGTATTATAACTTTTATATCCCAAGTGATGTCATACTATTTAATGATTGTTATATCATTCTTCATCTTATTGCATCCTTCACGTGGCAATCCTAAATTAATTTCATATCACTTAGGATCTAAAATTGGGATACAAATCAAGGATGTATATTATATTATTATAATATAAGCCACAAGTTTGAAATGTCAAGTTAAGCAAATAAATGTAAACTTGGCCTAAAGAAAAATATGGAGAATAATCGACTCTTACTCATGATAAAATTCCACTTATATGCTTTGTTTGGGTTTGTGTATGTTTCTTTCTGGGTTTGCAAATAAGTGTAATTATTGATGAGCCTAGCTGTCAAATTAAATGCAATAATGTTTCTTTCAAATGCAAATAAATTTAAATGTCCCATTAAGAAAACTCCACTAAATTAAAAGCCCAGCTAGACAAAACTCATAAATTTTGAAAATTTACCAAAATCATACCACCAAATTTACACAGTATATTTAAGATAGATCTAAATATTGCACGATTTATGAATTAGACCAATTACCAAGACTCTGTTTTTTATAAGAAAATGCCAAGAATATATTTCAAACCTACCAAACATCCCAATATTTTAATGGCAGTCAAAAGGTTTGAAGGTAAAAAAATTCAAGCCAAGTTGTAACCCTATTAATTACAGCTTTGCCACATCCAACTTTTCTTCTCTCATATTTGCATTTAAATACATACACCTGAGTATCAATGTCACTACATTTTTTTACTATTGAATTAATACATCTCCAATGGCTAAAATTACATCTGACAGGCATTATTAATGTGCTCTGAGAACAATACATCAGAATTGATCACCACCATTTAGAGTTCTTTAATTGAATAGTAGACAACTTGTGTCAAAATTTTGTGCAGAAGTTAAAACCATTGATCCTAGCGCTATAAACATGTATGACAATGATGAATAAGAAAGCAACATACGCTGTAAAGAAATGCCTTCCTTGCAATATCTGCAATCGTCAAGTGATTGTGCCTGTCAGATCAGACAATAGTCAAACTATCACATTAGTCAATGATAGCAAGTTTATCATTAATACCAAAGGAATAGTAACAGTTCCAATCTTCAAAATGATTTAAGTTCCAATATTCAAATATGTTATTCAAACAACAGTCATCAAAACAATACTTTTGAACTCACCCCTTCAGATGATGCTCTTGCAATTGTGCTTGAAGTTGATGATCAGCTAAAATTCCAGATGAGCCCATGGATGAGAGTTTTTCCTTTAGAACAGATGCTGCAAATCAATTCTATCAGCATATCTGGTCATCTAACAGAGCACGATGGCACAGCTAAAAAGTGTCTATGATAATCAAAGCAAAACAGACTAGAAAAAATGGAGGCAAAACATCACAAAAGGCTAAAGGGATTCTCTTCTTCCATTCAGAGCATCCAACAAATAGCAGATCATGCTATTAATGAAAGAAATGGCAAAAGATATTTCAAAAAAAAAAAAAAAAAAAAATTCAATAATTTTGAGGCAGAGGCAGTCCAGTATCTGGCTCACTATGCAATCATTTTGGTGTTGCTCACATTTCATAGTGCTAACAGTGTTAGTTGCTGCATTCATTGGCTATCATTTTTAAAAACTAGATCCTGAAGTTTGAACTATCAGGAAAAAGAAGAGAGAGACAAAGCAGTAGTATAGGAACAAATTTTATATTGCAGTTGAAAGACTCAAATAGCAGTAACCTTGATGAATTGCATTGTCCACATTATAAACTCTTACGAAAGTTGACCAATTTAATGGTTCAACACATAATATAGAGTACTGGAAATTGCTAATCTTTAGTGGTTCAAAAATGCAATAATCTAGTCAAGTTGATAATCTGAACAGGTCATCAATCAAATACAGAGCCGATAAGAATAATGACATCAAGATATGTTAAGAAGACGAATATAATCACAAATTAATGAAAATGACTGTTTACATAAAATACTTCGAAACATAAAAATCCAGATTCAAATAAAAATTCACCTGAAGATCCCCTTGCACTTTGCAAGACGGCAAAGAGCTGTTTCCTTCCTTCCCTAGTGTATGCAGCCCTATTCTTAATATTGTCACCACCTGTCAAATTCTGAATTATAAAAAGAAAAAAACAATCTCTCAGTTCAGACATTTAACTGGTAACTTATAAGTAAATGGCATAGAGGAAGCGCTCGTAACTGCAAACAATAGAGCTGCTAAATTCAATTTTGGGTGAACTTCTAAGGCTTTAACTCGTGGTAAGGGATAAACTGCTTCTCCACCTTGCTGAGATAGAATTCGAGGGATGTCTATTGATTCAGTTGCTGCAAAACAAATTAGGAAATATGTCAGCCAGTGCAGCAACCATTACCTTTAATATTACAAGAACATGTGAAAGATGGATGGAGCCTAAGGAACCATATGACACAAATACATTTTATCATTCATGTATAAATTAATGGGTTTACACATTCACTTATATGTCATTCAAAACATATACTGCATGGTAATTTTTACATAGTACAAAAAGACTTCTTAAGAGGCAAATTTAAAAAATAAAAAATAAAAATAAAGAGGAACGCCAAGGCATGCTCAAACACAGAGCCACCATTCTCAGGAAGGTGACAGAAATTCTTTTAGGTTAAAATTAGAAATTAGCTTACAGGCAGGCTCAAAGAAATTTGCTTGCATAGGAGGTCTATTAGGATTAAGCATCACTCTTGTTTTCCAAACTTGAAAAGTACCATCCTTGGAAAGAGTGACAACTAAACGCAACAAGGGAAGCCAAGCAACTGAGATTATTGGTTGGGAACCCACTTGTGTACTGCAATTACCCAAACCACTTGAAGTTAAGTCCATGACAACAGCAGCAATAACAATAAGAGAGATTGCAAGAGAAAAGAAGATATAGTAACTAATTTACACAGGTTGATGTCATATATCAAAACAAAATTATCACAACTTTGACAAGTTTCAATATATATATAAACTTGCCACAATCTTTTCAAGCATGTCTACTATAAGTGCCTGGATCTACCCATCACTGTAGTAATTAACACATCCAGGCCACAGATCCAAATAAAATGACCCAAGCACTTAGAAAAATGTTTGTTGCAAACCTGGTGGCATTATTGAAAATGGAAAACAGCATAGCATGCATGTAATATAGCCAGTTTAATCACAATAGGTAAGCCAAAACTACATGATAGCTACAGATATAGGAAACTAAACTCACTGCTACATCTATGACATTAACCTGATCAAAAAACTTGCTAAACTAGAATATACTACAATAGCTTCACACTTTTTTCCTCTACAGTAGTGACATCTAGTAGTGATTTAAGCTAACACATTTAAAACTCATAATGCAGCAGTTAAAGGGCCTCACAACCGCAAAAAAAAAAAAAAAAAATATATACATATATATATATATATTAACCAAGGAGGATTTAATTGATGGAAGATTCATAACCCTTGCATTGGGCTACATGCACTGTCACAGCTGACTAACTAATCAATAACCAATCTTATTATAAAAAATATTGAATAATCAAGACATACTAATGCAGAACAAAGAAGCAAAGACTTTTTGTTTAAGACCCTATTTTGATATCAAAAATGTTTTATTTTATAGATTTGAGAATTACTTTTATTTAAGATACTTGAGATATTACTTCTGAATGTCAAACTTTCCTCTTTTAACTTGTTATGATCAGATCACTTTCAACTTAATATTGGTAGATTTCAGTTTCCTTCTTGTTTATGACTTGGCCAATATATATAGACCATATGTTTTGTCCTTCAAAGAGCATAGATTAATTATATAATAATAAAATTCTTGAATGATTCTCCTCCAAAGCCTTTCTCTAAATCATTTTTTCTACCTTTCAAATATAATTCTTTTCTATGCTTTTTCTTACCTTCCTCTTTTCTCTCCCCCACTGTACATCAAGCATGTTATTGTCTCTACACTAATAAGGTAAGTTGAATTTCCTGATACAACTTTGCCAGGGCTAATTCCAGAATGCTCTCAGACCCTCGGTAGCAAAACATAAGACATGAAGATAGCTTCAAAATTTATTTTTTAGAGAGCCAAAAAAAAAAGTCAATTTCCAAGTTAATCAATATGGAAATTAGAAAGATAAGAAGCCGAATTGATTACTAGGTAAACTCCAACAAGAATCTAGGCCTTTTTTTTAATTATTATCATAGTTAAAAGTAGCAAGTTCTAACAAATAGATATACTAATTATCCTGTTTTTCTTTCTTGCATTGATATATAATTCATTAAAAGAATGCGAAGAAAGTCTAAACCAAGTATATAAAGAAATATAGAATAGACCACTGTTGACCAAAAAAGAAGAAAGAAAGGAAGTGAGATGAAACTGTAAAATTGAATAAAATTCTAAAAGGAAATAGAGGAGCTCAAAGTCTCCACCCAGTGAAAAGAGTCCACAGCAAACCCTGTTATTCTCAATAGCTTTTTCTCCAATGTATTTTTCCTTTATTAATACTTGCATTAATTCATTCTAGCCTCCAATATTTTTCTATCAAGATGCAAAACAAGCAACATGAAAAGAAAAGGAAAGAGAAGGGTGGAAGAAATCAAGTTCACTGAACTAGCAGGTTAACCAAAAAACAACGAACCACTAATTACTTACATTCCAATCATAATAGGTCTCTCTGTTGATACATCCCATGCTAAAAGTGTACCTCGCCTATCACCAACAAATATCCATTCCAATGTCGGGTGAAAAGCAAATGCACCAGCACCAATAAGTTTAATTGTATTATCAACTGTGATGAAACAAAACAAAAAAAAAAAGGTCATCTGCTGTTCAGCAAGAGGCTAATATATATCAAAAAACCTATACAAAGAACCAAGCATCTCATCTCACGTTGTAGTGTGTAATGAACGGCGTATGTATGAATGTTGTAAGCTCGGATCAAACCATCTGCATAAGCTACATACTGGAAACAGATAAAGAAGTCAAACAAACAATTGGAAGAAAGTCCTCTAACTATGAATGGCAAGAAGATCGAATCTATTATTAAGTTGTCATACATGGCCACTGACTAGGACCGCAAAATGCATTGCATTTTGAATTGGTTCAAACCCAATTATCTGATAACTGAAATTAAGATTCAATCAATTGTTCTGTTTAAAATCCCATCTAACTATTTCAATAATTACAAATCAAGGTAATCTGATAATAATCCCGTCGTTGTCAGTCTGAAGAATAATATAAAAATTATATTACACAATGCATACAGAATTCTTAACATATGTGGTTGACTCTCCGACGATAAATGTTTAACTTTTTAACAATCTTTCACAGTTAGTAAGGTTTTACAAAACAATTCATATCGTGGCAGATTTCATAACTCCATAATTTCCTTTCTATGTAAAAGTTTTGGTAACAAGAAAAGAAATTAGATAGGAATATTATTTTTATATAATTTAATATTCATCACAATAACGAGACATTAGGAGATCTTTTTCAACTTAAGGTACTCTTTATACAACTTTGCAAATGCAAGAACCCTTAAAATAAGCAAACAGTTCTTTCTTTGTCCCTAAAAGAAGCTATATCATCAACAGATGTTACATAAATGGAATTTTCACACTCATAATAATGCTCAAAAAACTCAAAACCTAACAACATTTGGCCCCACTCCCAATTCTCAAACAACCATGCAAATAAACGACTTCAAATTTCTCAAAAATTAAGAGAGAGGAGCATCAATAGACTAGCAAAAGTTGCAGATTATCCATGGACATCTTAACTTCCAGTAATTCAAATAGACATTCGATCAAGAATTCTCCTAATAATTATGTTTGATGATGAAAGGCAATAAAATTGCAAGATCTTGATTCGATGATGAAAGGCAATAAAATTGCAAGATCTTGATTCTTCTCATTCGATAAATGCAAATAAGTTACACACTAAATATCTTAAACAAGAATTTAGTACTCATGTCTGCCATTTGGAGCTTGGAAAAACTAGAGCTTTTTTTCAACTGATTTCTAAACTTAAAATTTGAGAATAATAAAGGGAAAACGTTCAATTTATGACAGAATGAAATAATTAAATTACTATATTGAAAATTCAATAAGTTGAACTCTTTATTGATCCACCAAATAAACATACATCTAATTGAATGGATCAGGATCATCTCAATGCATTTACTGCCCCACTAGTGACCAAAATCACAGCCAAACAAAAATATTACCAGCACAGGTAGACGGGGATGGCAAGCTAGATTAACAATTGGCTTCTTCAAGTCTGTCTTTATTTTTGTAGGAGCCCTTCCTCCTTCAACAGTTCCAACAACTTCACACAAGAATTCAAAAATTAGAAACAGCTACAGGATTGATAAAAGTCATAATTGTAAGACTAGAGACAAATCTAAAAGTGTAACACCTAAAAGAATACTGACCAGTTACACTCATCCTCCTGTGGAACCCAAAAAATACAACCGGTTGGAGACCTGTCAATGCAAGATGAACTTCTGTATCAATGGAAATTTGTTCCGACTTCTTTTCAGGCGAATGCAGCACAAAAGTTTGCTCAGTGTCAAAATCGCAGGACCTAATTGTACAGTCCTACAGTAACAAATTTTTACAACAAAACTATTAATATTTGTTTTAAAATAAACACCTTAGAACTTTCACAAATCGTAATGCAGCACAAGAGCATCAATTTACACAGACATCAACAAAGAACTCAAATTTGCATAGTTAGGTCGAAACCTCAAGAATAGCGACAACAGCATGGCTGCTGGTAGGACTATAAGCCATGCGAACAGCAGGTGAACCAATGTCAATAGAAGCAATCTTGCTTCCAGTTAAAGTATCAAATTCTGCACACACAAAATATTCAAGCATTAAATCCGAAATTAATATGAATTGAAACGCTAGGAATCGATTAATTAAATGAAATTACCAATTACGTAGGTTCCCATAGCGACGGCGATGAGCGCCTGATTATGGTGAAACGCAGCGGCATGTGGCTGCAAGGGTTTGTTATCGCCGCGACCAACATGGCGCAGATCTAGGTGCTGAACTGTGGACCACTCCATTTTAGAGTTCTCTTCTGTTTCACCTTACAACATTACTACACAAAATCATATAACTAACTTAAAAAGATTGCTAATTCAGAACACAGAGAAATCCAGAAATGAATCTGATGCTGATCTAACTTGAACTAATGAAATTCAAGTTGTTTATGTTACCTGATGAGTACCCTACGTGAAAATGGAGCTCATTGAATTTTAAAGAGAAGAAAGAATGATGTAAAGAACAATGAGATCACGAACACCAGTCAGGCAGGCAGACAGCAGATGCAGGAGGAGCGAGACAGCTTTTACAAAAGAAAAGACTGGAATTTGAGTAAATTAAAGACCCGAATTTTTTTGAATGTCAAATTGGGGCAAGCCCAGCTCAGTCAAACCGAATGTGGACTCTAATGGGCCGGTATTGAATGTTTCGGGCCAGGTTCTGTCAACCCAAGCTGAATATGGTTATTTTAGGCTGGGAATCGACCCACAAAAGCCCGTAGTACAAGTTGATTATCTACAACCCAAAACGTCATATCCATTTGATGTTGAAGCTGAAGTTGAATGGTGAGTTTGAAAGGCGGAGTGGGAGAGATCACGGGCATTCGAAATCTACCTCAGTCATCTAGTCAGCCATTATTAATGCATTTGTCGTCATAATTAAAAAATTAGAATAGCTTCAAAGTGGTCCTTGGAGACTGGAATGCCAAAAAATAAGTATAAAATTACGAAACAGAATTCAATAAATGAGAATTGATCCTATAGAGGACCCATCCCAAATTCTTCAATCCATACTCCTGCTTTCATTCTTAATCTACCAAACACACATACAAATTTAGCATCCCTTGATGAAATGGTGATTATATTAAAATTTCATTTCAATTTCTATCTAATTTATTGAAAATGAATATAAGAATTTATGAAATGGTCCATTGGTAATGGTTGGAGAGAAAGTTGAAGTGGTAGCTAGGCTCCAATCATATGCACACTAATGAGGCCTAATTGATGGACAGCAACAGATTGGAATAGCGAATGATGGAGTAAAAAGATTGCAGCCCTTCATAGTCGGTCCAGCCCAATTCAGCCACAGAGATAAGTTAGTTGGGGGCCATTCAACTTTAAGTAATAGCTAGAAAAAACTTTGCATGTCTGCATCACTGATAATTGCAATGATGCCAAGGAATGTGACATTTTTGAAGAAGAATATCGGCAGCAGTAGCACGAAGTGAAAATGACCATACGCCTTTATAAAATTCTTTCTATTCCTATTTGTCTTTTTCTGTATTTTAAATTTTCACAATTCTACCTGCTTTCTTATGTTTAATTTCTGTATATATATATATATATATATATATATATATACTTAAATAGCTTAACGTTCACCACAATAACTGTCATAGGTTATTATATGTTTACTTCCATTCAAAAAGTTAGAAGACTCTTATTAATAAAAGCTTATTCCAAAATAACTGCCCAAGTGTTAAAGTGCAAACATAATGTATGTGTGGAGAATATTGCAAAACTACCAAGAACTGTAGTTTTTTTTTTTCTTATGGAGAGTGTCTAGGTTAGCTTACGTAAGGGAGAACAATTGGATAACCTTCCAATGGTTATCAACTAATCCCCTGAGATTGGTTAGGTAATCCTCCAAAGATAATCCCTATTAACAAATTGAGAGAAATCAAACTTAAGACCTCATAAATAATAAAATAAAGAGTCTTTATTAAACTTCTTTTAATTAACGATAAAGATGAATATGTACTTTAGGAAAAGAAGAATACCTTCTTGCTTCGTGTCAAAATGTAGGTTGATAGTGGGTTTAGATTGAATTACGTAAAAAGGAAAGAATGTTTTGAGGTAGACCCACGACTACCAAAAAAGGAATCCATGAATGGGTATGGGGCCACGCGTATTTCAAAGAACTTCTTACAAGCTCAAAAAGATTGAGATACATACAACTTTCATTTATGGTCCATACTTAGTGATTGAATTCAATCCTTATCTCCGATACAAAATAAAATGTTAATATGTGCTTTAAGATGCATAAAATTAAGATAAGATATTTCTTGTTTATAATGTATTGTGTTACATTGGTTTTGATTTTTTTTTTAAGTATAAATTGTATTATTTTAATGGTTTTTAAGGTATAAGAGAAGCATAAAAGATTGAAGTATAGACAAAGAAATCCTATTTTAAAATTGGAAAATAATACAGCCACCGACGGTAGTGCACCGAATTTGTGCACCGAATGATATGGCAGAATCCTGACCGTTGATTAATTTTAACTTAATATTAATTAACGGTCAAGATTTTGCTATGTCATTCGGTGCACTACCGTCGGTGGCTGTAGCATTACTCTTTAAAATTAACCGTGGCTCGTATAGAATGCGGAAGATGGTTGTTTAATTTAGAGACTCGCTATATGGTTGAAAATTTTATAGTAACAAGATTATTGAATCTAATTTGTTGATACAGAAATCTGCACCAACTAGAGTAATCTGATCGACCTTGATGGGATCAGAACTAGTGTGTGCGTGATTACAGATAACCAGCAGTGAATGAACAATAAAATGCAATAAAGTAAATGACAAGGAGATTTTTAAAGTGGTTCGGCGAGATGAACTCTTGAGCCTATGTCCACTGTTTTTGTATTTGCCGTGAGAGCTTACAATGATAATCCTAAAATCATTTTCTAACCTCTTTCTCATCGTTGGAGGGAGTTTATATATAGAGTTTGTACAGAGAAAAGAGCGAAAATAAAGGGATTACAATTAAGTTTGAAATGCAACTCCGATATTCTTGCAATTAGCCATTGTGATTGCACAAAGATTGTTGTCGATCTGATCCTTCTCGAGATATTCAGGATCTGAGGTTATCTGCGAATTGGTTGAACAACTGAAAAGATTGGTCGCGACTAGTTACGTTAGGTCGAGCTACAACTTGACGAGCTTATGTTAGGTTGGACAATCGATAGAGTCGAGCTGGTTCTGGATCGGGCTATTACCCTGCAATTCTCCTAGCTTGATGGAAAAATCACACATAACATAATCAATTGATTTATTTTGTTCTAGAAGAATGCAAAAATAAGAACAATTATGATACTAAGAATATGCTAATAAGTTTTCTTAACCATTGGAGTTCTTATCCGGTCGATAGTTTCAAAACCTCAAGGCATTAGTTGAGATGTGTGTAAGCAATGTTCTGAAAACGGGTTGGGTTTTGACCCGTTAAAGGGTCCGGTTTCCGATTGGATCGGTCGGTTGGACCATATTCTATAAAATTACATTATAGTCCCTAAATGCTTGAAATTCATCAAAAACAACACTAAATAATTACGCATGACTCCCTTAAGGTTTGAAATCTATCCAAAACACCCCTGTCGCACGACGAGACTGGTGAGTGGTGGCAGCAGCAATGATCGACGGCCAATCGAAGTTTGGAATCATGGGGCTTTTGATGTATAGGTGCCGACGAATCTTATGGTGGTGTCAGGGAGTTCTATCGACGCTCGAATTTTTTGGAATCAAGAAGGAAGGTCGACGATTGCATGAACAATGGTGGACGGCGATTGACGGCCAATCGAAGTTTGGAATGATAGGGCTTTTGATGTAGAGGTGTCGGCGAATCTTATGGTGGTGTCAAGTAGTTATAATGGCGTCGAAATTTGCCGGAATCAAGAAATAAGATTGACAGTTGTGTGAACGATTTGTGGATGGCCAACGACGAAAGGCTAGATGGCGACCACTGAAAATGGATGGGTTTTGTCGTGGAGATGTTATCAAGTCTTATGGTGGTGTTATCTCCCTCGAACGATGCTAGAATCCAGCGGGATTGGACCACAATTCGACACTATTCTGACGATCCAACCGTGACTCAATCCAGTTTGATTAAGAATATCAGTTTTCAGAGGACACTAGACTGAAGATGACACCAATTCCCAATTGAACCGGTCCAATCGGCCGATTCGGTCCAATTTTCATAACCTTACTCGAACACCCCAGTCATTAAAAAAAAAAAATTTCTTAACCATTTGACGACAAATGATAATAATGAAGAAGATTTTGAATTTAGTTGTGAATTAAGCCCAAGAATGTATGCCAAGACATTGGGAAAATTGGATGTAAAATAAGGGAAAATGCAAGTTAATAGAAATAAGGGGTGCAAGTGGGAAAAATGAATAAGAGTTGGGTATGTTTACGCGTAGGCAAAGTTTGGAAAGTAGAAAGAAAAAAAAAAAGCTATGGTGGAGCAAAAATGACTGAAATAAATGAAGGCTAGGCGAGTGCGAAATTGAATGGCAGTTGTAAATAAAAAGTAAATGGAGATGGAGGTAGAGCATAGTTTGGAAGCTGGGAAGTAGTACTTAGCCTAAATCAATAAGACAAAAACTATGGTGGATAATACTTCAAAACCCATTCTCATTATCATTTCTATCCCTCTCTCCTATTTAATACATTCTGCAACTTGCCCTTGAATCTTTTCTTTCCTCCTCCAAATGTATTTTTACCATTTCCATTCTCACTTCTTCTTATGATTGATTATAAAATCTACAAATTAACTCTTGTGGTTGACAAAACTAATAACTTTAGTTACTATTCCTTCAATTCTTCTCCCTTTATATAACGAGGTTGAACACTATTTTAGTGGTGAACAGTAATAGTATATGTTATTTACATAATGCACTTAATTAATTAATTAATTAGACTCACATCATAAGGATGAAAGCCACCAAAAATGTAAAAGCTATAGATGACCCATCAATTAAAATAAACTTAAAATTGAATTTATAGATTATCATCTATTATTCTGTAAAATGGGGAAAGAAGGATATACATACCTCCCTTTGGTGTTCGACTTCTATGGTTTGATATCGACTCATTCACTTGGGGGACTCAATTCACTACTAGGATTTCTAGGTGTTTTTCTTAGACTATAATTTTTCCTTCTCAAACTGAGGAAACTAACCCCTATTTATAATCACACCCAGAACCCCAAGTGGTTACTAAGGTGGCTACCTTAAGTTA